GCCTCAGACGAGTGGGCCACCCTAGTGGTTACAACGTTCTCTCGTTCGATTCCCGACATTGGTACAATGTGTGAAGCCCATTTCTGGTGTCCCCTGCCGTGATATTGCTGGAATTATTTTAAGCGGCGTAAAATGAAACTCACTCACTCACTCACTCACTCACTTTAAGTCTGTTTGCATTTTCTGCTGTATCTGAAAATATCTATATAAGGTAGATTGTTAGTCCAGCTTCAACAGTGAACTGCACAAAACTAAGCTTTTCTTTCAAGGTTTTATCATCAAAGGCCTGGTTAAGCTGTTGGAGAAATTTATGGGAGTCATTTATAGGAATGAGACGTCGCTAATCAACATGATGCGCGTTGTTATCCCAAGCTATGACCTGGAATTTACGTGCTTTTTTTAAAAGACTGTGTGAATGGCGAGAAGTTCCTCCTGAGAATAGTCAGTCTCGATTATCTTCACCAAAACCACCCGCTACGCGAACAATTTTCATTAAATAAGAAAGTGTGTGTTGCCTTACGCCGTATCCAGCAGTACTCTTGCCATACGACGTCAGCCTGCAAACAATGGAGTCTGGACCTGACAATTCAGTGATCAGTATCATTAGTAATGATCCACGTGGTCGGGGTACGTCTCCACGCTATCAGCTAAGCCCTTAAGTTTAAATGATCGTGATTATTGATAATGTGCATCTACAGTAAACTACGGTTATAACGAACACGCTTATAACGAACTGACGGATATAACAAACTAACTTTTTAGTCCCGACTATTTGCTGTAGTATATAGTATATATGCTTATAACGAATTACGGTTATAACGAACTAAAATTAGTAGTCCCTTTGAGTTCGTTATAACCGTAGTTTACTGTATCAACAAAGAAACATTTACTGTAGCCTTCCAGTGCATCATGTTATTGGAAATAGCACGTTTAATGTTCACACATTTCGATGTTTGACTTAGACTTAGGTACTGTGGTCGTACAAATCATGAATCTATCTGGAACGCCACCGATTGGGCAGGATACGCTCACCTTTTTACGAACACCTAGTTTTGCTGTTTGTTGCTTAACGCCGCACTCAGCAGTGTTCCAGCTATATGACGGCGGTTTGTAAATAATCGTGTCTGTATCAGACAATCCAGTGACTGACATCATGAGCATCGATCCACGTAATTGGGATACGATGACATGCATCAACCAAGTCAGCAAGCCTGACCATCCGATTCCGTTAGTTGCCTCTTACGACAAGCACAGATTTCTGAAGACCTTTTCTACCCCGGATCTTCACGTGTCGATCAGTATCATTAGTAATAATCCACGTGGTCGGGGTACGTCTCCACGCTATCAGCTAAGCCCTTAAGTTTAAATTATCGTGATTATCTTTAATGTGCATCTATCAATAAAGAAATACGATCACAGTTACTGTAGGCTTCCAGTGTATCAGGGGCACTGGTGGCCCAGTCGTCTAAGGCGCCGCGATTCGCGTCCATTGGGCACGCCAGAAACCTATGATTGTGGGTTCGAATCCCGGTTCGCCCCGATTATGTTTGTAGGTTTGTCAGCACCATACCCGTGCTCGTGGGTTTCACCAAAGTGGTAAATATCTGAGACCTGCATCACTTGGGGCTTTCTCCCACATTAAGCTGACACGCCGCGATATAACTTGAATAATGTTAAAAGCGGCGTTAAACCCAACTCACTCACTCACTCCAGTGTATCATGTTATTGAAAATGGCACGTTTAAGTTCATGCATTTCGATGTTTGATTTGGATAAGCATGGGTTGCTGAAGACCTATTCTGACACGGATATTCGATCACGAACCCAATTTGATGCTTATTATATACAGTGCACTCGTGTGTAACATGTTTCTAGATTACATTATTCATACACGAATGCGCCCAACTTAGTTTTGGTGGAAGTAAACATGGCTATAATTAATATTTATGTGTGGCTGGTTGCCCCAACCTCTCCGTCACAAATGTATAACAAGTGTATTATCTAAACATGCATCAGCTGTTTCAATAATGATATATGCAAACAATTTCAATATTTTTATTTAAAACTTCATTGATCTAAAATACACTTTGTCTGTTAATGTACACAACAACCATTCGGTGTATCTCCTCGAATGAATTTTGTCTTCCGTCATCACCCTGAACTACCATCAGAGGTCGGTCTATCCTTTATACATCACACTTCTGCCATTTATTTCACATATGCCTCGGAAACCCGTTTATCCGGACAATATTTGTGTACACAAGTGTTCGGATAAGCGAGGTTCGACAGTCGTCGGAATCGTACAGTGGACCCTGCCTTTAGCAGACATTTCCAATTGTAATTGAAAGACTTTTGTAGCTTTTATTCACGAAGTCAAACGTAAAAGGTTTTACTAGAAGTATGCGTGAATATTGTCAATACTGTTTGGTGAAAGGGCACATTAACATAATGTCTTGTCTGAAAACACAAACATTTAAGTGCTTGGTGCTTGATTATAACCGTGGGGCGGTTACTGCCCAAACCCTTCTATTACCTGCAATCAACCTAGAGTCATTATTTTGTTTATGTGCTCGTTTTATAACCGGGAGTTGCGTCCCTTGGGCACGCCAAATACCTATGATTGTGGGTTCGAATCACGGTTCGCCCCGATTAAGTTTCTAGGTTTGTCAGCACAATATCTGTGCTCGTGGGTTTCACCGAAGTGGTAAACGTCTTAGACCTGCATCACTTCGGGCTTTTCTCCCACATCAAGCTGACACGCCGTGGTATAACTGGAATACTGTTAAAAGCGGCGTTAAACCCAACTCACTCACTCCTTTGTGGACCCGCGGTCTCGTCAAGGTCATAAATGCCCGATAAAGGGAGATAATTCAACGCCATGCATGTGGTGATTCGAGGTTAACTCCGGTCCCCAGTATCCTTTGCTTGTCGTAAGAGACGACAATATGGATTAGGGAAGTCAGATTGGGTGACTTGGTTTAGAGCGTGTACAGCGTGGATCTTTACTCATAATATCACTGGTTTGTTTGTCATATAACGACTATTGCTGAGTGCAATGTTAAATACCAAACAAAAACTCCATGGAACATTATTGACAGACATCTTGTTTTCGGTAAAATACTATAGCCCCTAATAGTATATAACAAGACGAGATGTCCAGTGCACGGCAGAGGGAACATGCACAGTGACACCTACATGAGGCAGCAATTTCACTATTTCTTTGCTGCCGCCGCTGCTTCTATATTATCCAAAATATTTCAGTTAGAACATTATCACTAGGACGTTGCACATATTCGAATTTATATATTTTTCCAAATTATTTATATGTAAAGTCTTTGTCATTTGTCTCCAGCAAGCAAGAACTAACGTACATTTTCAGCTATTAAACGCTCCTGTTTGACTAGACCATATGGGATGACGTCAACTTTCCCGTTATGTAGAGCTATATTCCACATATTTCACAACGTTTGAGGTACAATCGAGCATGCTGTTCTTGGAAACTCTTAAAGGGCGGTAACCACATTTGCTCAAAAATTGTTTGATCAGGGCTACAATTTGCAAGGCCTCAGTGAAACTTTCAATATGTTTTGCGGTACACATATATTCCCAAATTTGACGCATCAGTGACCAAAATGATATCTGATGCATTTCCTTTTTTGAACCAAATGTTCCTGTTTTCGTTCACAAACACCTGATACCATCACTATGTAATACTGATTCATAAACACAGGCTTACCGTGTAGTCGGAATCGGATTCTGCTTATAGCAGAGATTTCTCATGATTTGGAAAGTGGTTTGTCACCTTATTCTCCCCACATGGTAGTCCATGGCGTGTACCTGTAGTCCATGGCGTGTACCTGTAGTCCATGGCGTGTACCTGTAGTCCATGGCATGTACCTGTAGTTCATGGCATGTACCTGTAGTTCATGGCGTGTACCTGTAGTCCATGGCATGTACCTGTAGTCCATGGCGTGTACCTGTAGTCAATGGCGTGTACCTGTAGTCCATGGCATGTACCTGTAGTCCATGGCATGTACCTGTAGTCCATGGCGTGTACCTGTAGTCCATGGCATGTACCTGTAGTCCATGGCGTGTACCTGTAGTCCATGGCATGTACCTGTAGTTCATGGCGTGTACCTGTAGTCCATGGCATGTACCTGTAGTCCATGGCGTGTACCTGTAGTTTATGGCGTGTACCTGTAGTTCATGGCGTGTACCTGTAGTCCATGGCGTGTACCTGTAGTCCATGGCATGTACCTGTAGTCCATGGCGAGTACCTGTAGTTCATGGCGTGTACCTGTAGTCCATGGCGTGTACCTGTAGTTCATGGCGAGTACCTGTAGTCCATGGCGTGTACCTGTAGTCCATGGCATGTACCTGTAGTTCATGGCGTGTACCTGTAGTCCATGGCATGTACCTGTAGTTCATGGCTTGTACCTGTAGTTCATGGCGTGTACCTGTTGTTCATGGCATGTACCTGTAGTCCATGGCGTGTACCTGTAGTCCATGGCGTGTACCTGTAGTCCATGGCGTGTACCTGTAGTCCATGGCGTGTACCTGTAGTTTATGGCTTGTACCTGTAGTCCATGGCGAGTACCTGTAGTTCATGGCGAGTACCTGTAGTTCATGGCGAGTACCTGTAGTTCATGGCGTGTACCTGTAGTTCATGGTGTGTACCTGCATTCACAGCAAATCTGGAAGAGAACTACTCAAACATGTTTCAATAGATATAATAATTTGAAATGCACATATGGACAATAATCTGATAAATTGTTAACTTTATTACAAAACTATGCTTGTTGTAAGGCTATCCTAGAATTTTAGTTGAAAATTAGCAACGAATACGTGACCGTGCATATTTCCAACCACAAGAAATGAGTTAAAGGTTTGTGCACACGTTTAATATAGGTGGGAGAACATTAACTTAAACCTGTAAGTAAATATAGAGACAAGTACCAGTAAATTGTAAACGTTAAAACATTTGCTTCTTTAATATTTCAGGCAGAATACAGTCCCGCAGGGCCACAAGTAATATGTTTCCACGAAATATATCCTGCAGTCTGAAACACCTTAAAAGGATCAGGTCAGAAGTTATAACTGCGCGAAAATGCACCACACGAAGGAAAGGGTACGTCCCCTATGGTAAAACAGGGTCTGGAAATTATGGGTCAACGTTCACCCCTCAAACGGTTGAGTTCATGAAGCCTGTTCGGGACAAGCTCCTCAGTCTAGTGACAGAAATACCCTTCAAAGAGCAGGTGTTCAACATCGGCGACTACGGCACAGGAGATGGAGCAACGTCCATGACGTTACTGAAGGAGTTGTTGGTGGTTCTGAAGGAACGTCATGGTTCTGAACGGCAGTTCCAAGTCATCTACGAAGACCAGGATTTAAACGACTTCAATTCTTTGTTCAAACGTCTTTCTGGGGCCATCCCAGATCCCCCATCTTACCTTTTGAATATGAACAATGTCTTTGCTCTTACTTCAGGTGTACACTTCTATAAACAGTGTGTGCCGTCCGACTCCATGCATTGTATCATGTGTATGATCGCTGCTCACTGGCTGTCCAAGACCCCGACCCTGTATAAGGAATCGCTGTACATCTACCCCGACAGTTCTGCAGAAGAAAAAACGGCTCTACGGGATCAGAGTATCTCTGACTGGGAGACGTTCTTGCTGATGAGAAGTAGAGAACTAAAGAAAGGGGGAGTACTTGCTGTGTCCCTCTCCTGCGAATACGTTGATGAAACAAGCAGACAAATCTCATTCACCTTGCAGAACTTTGTGTTTCTCATGACGGACGTGTGGCGGAATTACAGAAATACCGGAAAGATTACGGACAAGGAATTCATCAACACCAACATAGCCTACTGCCATTACAACATGAATGATCTCAAGGAGCCTTTTGAAAATAATACATCAGCAGTTTGGAAATCAGGTCTTCGTCTTGTTTCAACTGAAGTAATCATCAACAACAATGTCTTCTACTCCGCCTGGAAGCAGAGGAAGGACCTGGAAGGTGTGGATGACAGAGACGGGTTCGCCAGGGCGTACGTGGCCGCCCACAGGAACTGGAGCAACAGTACCTTCATCGACGGCCTCTCAGACGCTCGCACACGAGAGGAAAGACTGAACATTGTGGATGATTTCTATGGCGATATACAGGGAAGAATAGCAAATATGAATCCAGATGTCTTTAAAGATGAGTCATGTCTCAACTACCTTGTCATTGTCAAGGAGTAGGAGTGGCGTGGCATCTTTAGTTTACACCCCCAAATAATTACAATGGCTCATCTATACAGACATTAACAGATATATCATTAACGCTAACATGGTTAACTTCTAGCTAATGATCCCAATCTATCTGTTACTGATACAGGAATTCCAGCACTTGTTCATGTTTCACCTAAATGCACTGTGAGGCTGGTCAGACTAATCGTTTTACCCCTCAACACGCAAAGCATGTGTACCGTCAACAGATATTTTCCAAATCTTTTCATGTTTTTAATCAAGGTGCTCACGTGATTTCATGCACTTCGCGAAGTAAGAACCGTTTTATCCCACGATAGATCTTGATTATCGATCGGATCGTCTTCACTGGGCGCCGTGCAAGTGTAATCAGAGGTGGAATCTGATTGGTCAATAGGAGGGACATAGAAGGGACATAACTCGTAATAGCCACTGGTGGCACTACAATCAAACCCAAAAATTCCGGCCGAGTTCGGCAAGGGCGAAAACTGGACGTTTACAAGATATTTCTTCGGATTATTAAAAGAGTTTTGTCACATTTATTCATCGCCAAGCCAGACGTCAGCGAACTGTCTTCAAAAGGCAAAATTTAGAGGTTCCCAGAAAGATATTTGAACATTTTTAGCTACTCTTTGACCCAAGATGTATTACCGAATGTTGTTGAAGACGGTGCATCAATAAAAAATGAAATCATCAGTGGTACATCATCGTCTTTTCTCCGCTCAGTGTAGCCATGTTTCTGTAGGCTAGAATCTTTTGATCGTGGGTTCGAATCTCATATTCCCCTGATAATGATCCATGCTTTATCGGACACACGCATGTGCTTGTGGGTTTCATAATGAAAAAGCCCATAACATCACCTTACAATAATTTATTCACTCACACCATATTTACAAATTCATATGTACATACATGTTTACATACAATCATACACTCACATAAACACAAGACTTATCCTTAATATTCAATTTGAAATCTCATTACTCTCATCACAAAATACCTGTTCCTTGAGGACACTGTCCTGAGACATAAACCAACGAACAAAACACTGAAAGCTACAGGTACGTTTCTGCATTATGCATCATGTATATTTTGATACAGTCTATGCATGGGGATGGGACATCAGGCATATCCTGATACAGTCTCTATGCATGTGGACACTGGATGGTGCAAAATGCCAAACCTGATACAGTCTTAATGAAGGTGCTGAAATTGCAGAAACCTATATGATCAAGGATTTGAATCCCGGTTCACCCAGATTATGTTTCTAGGTTTGTCAGCACCTGCCCATGGTCGTGGGTTCATGAAACATCTCTCCCTTTCATACTTATCTAAATGTCATACATATTCTGCTAACAAAGCACAAAACATTTTTCTTCTATTAAAAACTACACAATACACAGGAACTTAAATATCCAGGAAGGAATGCTGTTTTATGCTGCAGTCAGCAATAGCATAGCTACATAACGGCACCCTAAAAATAGGTCTGGGTTAGGCAAAAAGGGATTGAAAGTGTAAGCAACAGTCCACACCTTCAGAACGGTGATCTCACAGAAAGCTTGCTCACAAATTTTAACTGCCCAATTTGTCTTCCTCAGCTCTTGGTGCTGGGGTCCCATTCTGCTCCTGAACTTCTAGGATATACATTTCAAGTCAAATAACGCCGCACTCGGCAATATTCCAGCTATATGATGGCGGTTTGTAAATAATCGAGTCTGGACCAGACAATCCCGGGATTGACATCATAAGCAACAATCCACGCAATTGGGATACGATGACATGCATCAACCAAGTCAGCAAGCCTGACCACCTGATCCTGTTATGGTAAGCATGGGTTGCTGAAGACCTATTCTACTCCGGATCTTCACGGATCTCTCAGCTCTTGGTACTAGGGACCCATCCTGCTCCTGATTCTCCATCAGTTCCAGGACAAGTCAAATGATGATAACATGTGCAACATACAGAGCATTTTGTACAGCATTGGTAAATTGATGTTAGGCTCCACACAGAGTACCCGTGTCAGGCAACAAACATACATTTTTATGCAAATTGTGTGAGTGGCCGGTGAGGGCAGGACATGCTTTCCCTTATTTGACACCTGAGGTCATCACTGATTTTCAGTGATCCACTCACATTATTTACACAACTATTTTGCTCTTTAAGTCAAACTGATTCTGTTTCGTCGGGTAATTGAGACTGGTTATTCTCTGGCCTTGATGTTTATATTAAGGTGAGGTGAAATTGGGTTTAACGTCGCTTCCAAGATTATTGCACTTATATAGGGACGTGCATGTGCGGGAGTGTGTGTGTGTGTCTGCTTGTACTAGTCCAGACTGATGCCGATTTATAGTGCTAGCTCACTGAGATACCATCCTGCAGTTTAGCATGAATACCCCACTCAGACACAGTATACTGACTCCGAGCCGACCAGTCCTTGTTTTAGCCCCTAAATGCCGAGCGCCAGACAGGGTAACAACAAGTACCATCTTTTAACGTCTTTTGGTATGACGCGGCCGGGGATCGAACCCCGAACCTTCCGCTCTCCGGGCGGACGCTCTACCACTAGACCACGGAGGTGGTCCTGTTTATATTAAGTGTACAACCAAGATTTGTCTTGTCCTATTACATATCTATGTGTGAACATGGTTTAACACCACTTTTAGCAATATTCCAGCAATATCACGTCAGGGGGCACCAGAAACATGCTTCACACATAGTACCCATGTGGGAATCGAACCAGGTTTTCAGGATGAAGAGCAAACACTTTAACCACAAGGCTACTCCATCTATATATCTATGACATTTCCTTTGTTCAAGTATACATAGTTGATGTCAGGTTGCTTAACAATTAGATGTAAAGAGTTGAATGTATTTTTGAATTATACAATTGAAAGTAACATTAAATGATAAAAATACAAAAATCAGTCAAAATCAAATTAAATTCAAATTTGATTAAACTCTGTGGTATCAAAAGTTAAATTCAAACATTTGATATAAAAATGAACATAATAAAAAATTTAACGATGTGAAGTCAACTTAAACTGTGACACATGAACAAGCAATGGACGGAATGATGAGTTTTTGGGAATGTGAAATGTGTCGTCTAAGGGGCTGCAATTTGCTGTGCAGAGTAACATGCCTTGGACACACCAGAAACCTGTGATTGTGGGTTCGAATCCCAGTTCGTCTTGATAATGTTTAGGTCTGTCAGCACCATACTAATGCCCTTGGGTTTCGCCGAAGTGGTAAACGTCTGAGATCTGCATCACTTCAGGTTTTCCTTCCACATTAAGCTGACACGCCATGATATAACTGGAATACTGTTCAAAGCCGCATTAAACCCAACTCTCTCACTGGAATGTGAAACTTTGCAGTTAAGATGAAAGCTGAGAAACTGATTGTTCCCAGATAACAATCTCGTCTCTCAAAATATCACATTGTACATTATCATCCAAAACTAGCTTCAACACGAGATATCGCCTGTGTGAGATCGAGGAATAACTCTTAGCACTTCAATAAAATTGCATCACAAAGCTTTGCAGACCATTGTGACATCATCGGTTACCATGATGCCACACTTAAATGACATCACTTACCTTTTTGCCACTGAAGCTGGTTTTCTGTACTTTTACACTTAAGACACTAGTTTATACTGTTTACAAACAGAGTGAGTGAGTATGGTTTTATGCCGCTTTTAGCAATATTCCAGCAATATCAAGGCGGGGGACACCAGTAATGGACTTCACACACTGTACACGTCGGGAATGGAACCCGGGTCTTCAGCGTGAAGAGTGAACGCTTTAACCACTAGGCTACCCGACCGCCCCTGTTTACAAAGAGAAAATAGTTGGAAGAATAATGTTGGATGATAAATATAATCTCACTCTCGTCTCTCTTCATATCAACTATATCAACACTTACCATAAAAGTTTAAAAGTCACTGGAAAGACTCGGAGTTATACTTCTCCACAGACTCCAGAGATAATCACCATCTGCCATTATATGTCTTGGAATACTATTAGTGTAGAAAACAAGCTGGCTTTGTTCATTCATGTATCACCCTTGATATTCAATTTCACAATACCGCATTCGTTGTAATAAGCGCCGAGGGTGCTCTCAAAATTAGAAATAGGGGGCTCTTATTAGAATATAATTTTGGTGAGAAAAAAAACCAGAGTTGAAAGACTTGGTTTATGCTGACAGCCTCGAATGATATAAAAGAAAAGTCTGTGTGTATTATACACGATAGATATAGATTCGAGAATTTAATTGCCCATAATTAAGGGTGCATATAACACATGAGTGCGTATTATACACGAATAAATAAGTCTTGTGTACATTGATTAATTGGAAAGGGTGCTAATTGGGATTGTTCACAAGCCAATATATATGCAAATATCGCCATAGGCGCTTATTAGAGCAGGGCACTTATTACTCTTCAAATGAGTGAGTTGGGTTTAACACCACTTTGAACAGTATTCCAGTCATATCACAGCGTGTTAGATTTAATGTGGTCGGAAAGCCCGAAGTGATGCAGGTCTCACACGTTTACCACTTCGGTGAAACCACGAGCACGGGTATGGTGCTCTACAGACCTAGAAACATAATCGGGGCGAACTGTGATTCGAACCCACAATCATGCCCAGGGGATGCAACTCTGCACAGCGAATTGCGGCACCTGAGACGGCTGGGCCTCCTTTGCCCACTCCTGAATGAAGTGCAACATCAATACAATAAACAATTGATTCTGATCATTCACATGTGAACAGAGTGAGTGAGTTGGGTTTAAATGAAAACTTAAAGACTGAGTGAAGACAATCTGACAGATCTAAGTACATATTTCAATTTTTTAAGTAGTGTCCATCATTCCAACATTCATACTCTAAAAATAGGTCTGGGTCAGGCAAAGAAGTAATTGAAAGTGTAAGCAACAGTCCACACCTTCAGAACGATGATCTCACAGTAAGCTTGCTCATATATTTTACTGGGGACCCATTCTGTTCCGGAATCTCCATCAGTTCCAGGATACACATTTCAAATCAAATAATGTTTGTTTGTTGTTTAACGCCGCATTCAGCAATATTCCAGCTGTATGATGGCGGTCTGTAAATAATCAAGTCTTGACCAGACAATCCAGTGATTGTCATCATGAGCATCGATCCACGCATTTGGCATACGATGACATGCTTCAACCAAGTCAGCAAGCCTGACCATCCGATCCCGTTAGTGGCCTCTTACAAACAAGCATAGTAGCCTTTTATTGCAAGCATGGGTTGCTGAAGACCGATTCTACAAGTCAAATAATGAAAACATGTGCAACATACAGAACATACATATTTGCACTCAATGAGTTTCGCAGGGGATATTTTTAAGCCTATTTTTAATCTACCAATATTTGCATATACAATGCAATGTTTCGTTTCACAAAAACCCTGGGATTACAGTCTGCCTATCTAGTTGTTTCATGGTTGACTAATGGTCATTCCAGGTTTGCAAGTACATGTACATTTATTGAAAGAAAAATTAAGGAATTGTTCAGACCCCAAACATATTCTCATCAAAACAAAAAAATTCAAATCGAACCTTGGCAGCATGGACAAAACTTATCCCACCCATGCATGCCCAAACATAAGACCAGAACTCTGGAACACAATCACACATATTTCTTGTTGATTCTGGTGTTCTTTGTCTCTGATGGCTGATCAAATAATATGCTGTTCATTTTTACACATAAAACAGTTCACACTTTCCTAAAAAGAATAATACCAAAATAATTGCTAGGTTATTATGCCATCTGCAAGCAAATTGAGATCTGCTTGGAGGCTGATATTCGGTCCAGAGTCTGGAGCAAATGTTAGTAAAATATTCCAAACTGGAATTAAACAATTCCAATTAATGCTGTTATGGCTTTGTGTCTTCTATTTCACTGATCAGGACCACAAAACAGGAAGAGGTTTGAAAATTTATTTTGATGATTATTGCCTTGAGTGCAATGTTAAATTTTAATGTCAAAATTCCTCTAACTTTAGGAAAATATAATCTTTTAAAAAAATCCCAATTTAGAACAAATTAATGATTAAGGAAGAGAATATATGGATGTCAACTTCTTCTTGTGTTCGTCATAATAAAGAAGTTGACATCCATATATTCTCTTCCTTATGTGTATCACTTCTAAATGCCTTTTAAATACCTCAAACTAATGATTTTCCCCAATTTTTCTGCTAGGGGAAGTTAGTTTGGAATCCTAGATAAATCCCTGTGTTTGGAACCCTTTGTTTGCCCAGGGTTACACTCACAAAGCTACTGTAGCTCTATGACTATTTAACTCCAATACACAGGCAGAGAAATATGCATTGTGTTATGAAGGTGTTACTCAAACATTACACCACAAACTCAAACATTACACCACAAACAATTCAGATACAATCTGATTGATCCATGCATCAAACTGTGCACTCATTCATACTTCACAGTCAGGCACACCATCTTAATTCACTGGTTTACAAAGTAGTTTGAGAAAATTTCTGATCCTGGTGGGAAGAATATTAAAAAACAAAGACATGTCAGATTACTTTTCTTGATCTTTAAACTTGCTGTTTAGCCAAAATTGTAGAAAACCATTGTGCAAAACCTTTTCCCTATGGTAAATCTCCAAGAACCAGAGATGTTCAAAGTTCATCCAAGACTTGAATAGTTGACAATATAGTGGTAAAATGTAATCATCTCCGTCTTCAATATCCTCCCCATGTCCGATCTCAAAGAACCGGAGACATTCAAAGTTCATCCCTGACTTTAACAGTAGACAACATGGTGGTCACCAGCTGAACCAGTCCAGTAAAATAATCATCACCGTCGTCCTTCTCATCCCGGGCCAGAGCCTTATACTCGCTCTTCAGCTGTTCCAGGTCGGTGACGGCAGAGGTGAAGGTCTGCCGACACTCGGACACGAGGGTGATCATGGCGTGGAGCACCTTCTCTCTGGCATCATGGTCGGGGGCAGTCAGTAGCTGGGGTACCAGCTCACACCACCCACTCTCCCTCATGGAGGACTTGAGGTTGAACCTGAAGAGCAACAGCAATATCTCAGAAAGGAACCAGCAAGTAAATATTCTCGGAGGGGGATGTGGGACTGTCGCTTTTTATCAAATACACATTTTTTTCCAAGACATCCAAAAATATTTTATTATTTTTTATTTTATAACAGGAATATTTTTATACAAACAAGTAAGTATTTATGGAAAGTGCAACCAGTAGAGCAGGACATGCTTACCTTCGTGAACACATGGTATGATCACAGATTTTCAGTGATGCATCCATATAATTTTCATCACTAATTTGCCTTTTACGCTCAATGAGATCTGTTTCGGCACATAATCGAGAATGATGATCTCTGGCACAGACATTATATTTTTAGACCGGAGGCAAAGTTAGTAGTTTCCACTATTGCAATCATTTAAAAAAGAAAATCGAAGCCACCCTTGATCAAACGTCATGATCAGTCCTTGTGTGTAGGATTACATGACTCACATACTTCATCCAACATTAAGACCCCGGACCTTTCCTGGTGTACTGATGCTTCACCTGACCACATCAGAGGTGTAGATAACAACAGAATCAGGAATTTGAGACAAGGTATGGAAAAGTCTAACCAATTCCTGTTGTTTTTTTGTTTTGTTTGTTGTTTGACACCGCACTCAGCAATATTCCAGCTATATGACGGCGGTCTGTAAACAATCTAGTCTGGACCAGACAGTCCAGTGATTGACATCATGAGCATCGATCCACGCAATTGGGATACGATGACATGCATCAACCAAGTCAGCGAGCTTGACCACCCGATCCCGTTAGTTGCCGCTTTTTAAGGCAGGCATGGGTTCTTGAAGACCTATTCTACCCCGGAACTTCATGGGTCCAACTCCTAGTGATGTGAGACTGAGAGGAACTCACTGTCTATATTGCTTCAGTCTCTCAACGTCAACACTGTTCTCATCTTGTGTATACTTCTCACTCAACTCCTGAAACAGAAACATCACAATGTCATTAAGATCAGACGTTCTACTCCAATACGACAACTCTCAGCTTGAAGATCTAAGGACATCTCGATGGGATTTCGTGTCAGGTGACCCTGTGCCTGAGCCTTAATAACTGTCAGAGCTAAAATGATCATCGTCAATGATTACAAGTGAGAGAGTATATTTTTACACTGCTTTTAGCAATATTCCAGCAATATCACGGCGGGGGACACCAGAATGGGCTTCACACATTATACCCATGTCAGGAATCAAACCCGGGTCTTCGGTGTGACGAGTGAACGTTTTAACCACTTGGCTACCTGACTGCCCCCTATGATTACAATCATGACAGTATTGTCAGTAGAATAGTGCTTAGACACTGCATGCTCAGTCAACTCCCACTGTCAGTGAGTTAGTGAGTGAGTTTGGTTTTACGCCGCTTTTAGCAATATTCCAGCAATATCACAGCGGGGGACACCAGAAATGGGCTTCACACATTGTACCCATGTTGGGAATCAAACCCGGGCTTTCGGTGTTACGGGCGAACGCTTTAACCACTAGGCTCCCCGACCGCCCCCAACTCCCACTGTGTCTGATGGGACCAATTAATAGTTATGAGTAGTCAGAAATATTCAAGATATGTCATGGATTCCTCTAAATAATCAAATCTGTGACAGACAACAGTTTGGTTAATAGTATATGGGTACAATGATACAAATTGTTAAAACTTTATTCACATTTTGCAGTGGACAACATCACGGTGGCATGCGAAACATAGGACCAGACAAACCAGCGTTCTGTTTGTTTGTTTGTTGTTTAACGCCGCACTCAGCAATATTTCAGCTTTTATGATGGCAGTCTGTAAATAATTGAGTCTGGACCAGACAATCCAGTGATTGATATCATGAGCATTGATCCACACAATTGGGATATAATGACATGCATCAACCAAGTCAGTGAGTCTGATCACCCGATCCTGTTAGATGCCTCTGACGAGAGACATGGGTTGCTCAAGACCTATTCTAACCCGGATCTTCACAAGAGTGAGTGAGTGAGTTTGGTTTAACGCCGCTTTTAACAGTATTCCAGTTATATCGCGGCTTGTCAGCTAAATGTGGGAGGAAAGCCCAAAGTGATGCAGGTCTCAGACGTTTACCACTTCAGTGAAACCCACGAGCACGGGTATGGTGCTGACAAACCTAGAAACATAATCGGGGCGAACCGGGATTCGAACCCACAATCAAAGGTTTCTGGCGTGCCCAAGGGACGCAACTCTGCACAGCGAATCGCGGCGCCTAAGACGACTGGGCCACCCATGCCCCCGATCTTCACGAGAATCTCCATGAGGCACAAGCATGGAGTTCAGGGAATCTAGTATGAAGTATCGGGGAACTACTCTGTATTGGAATCACATGGCGAAGAAGTATGAGGTACTGTGAGGTATTGTGGTCCTCTTCTGACATAGAATCTCCCCAGGGGATTGGTGTGCCATCATTCTGTGCTGCAATACCCAGGGAGGACGAGCACAGGACGCTGGGAGTGAGTGAGTGAGTGAGTGAGTATGGTTTTACGCCGCTTTTAGCAATATTCCAGCAATATCACGGCGGGGGACACCAGAAATGGGCTTCACACATTGTACCCATGTCGGGATTCGAACCCGGGTCTTCGGCGTGACGAGCGAACGCCTTAACCACTAGGCTACCCGACCGCCCCAGGACGCTGGGAATGCAACCAGGCATAAAATACCAAGGGGTGACAAAATTGGGGAAAAATAAAAATATCGCTACCGGGTATATAGGGATAAGAGTACAGCAATAGTTGACTGAATATGGAAAATCTCCTCACCTTCTCTACCAGCAGGTCATTGAGAAATGTCAGAGCCTTTATCTGAAGCTTCTGAGCATTCATGCTGGAATCTTCGAAGAACTTCTTTAGTGCAGCAAGTCCCCCTAGCTCCAGGAACTTCTTCTGGGCATATGGGAAGTGTCTGGCAAGGGAGGACAGCGCAAACAGCGTCTTCTTCTGCAGGGTGGTGGACGACGTAATGGACAACATCTTGATCAGTTGATGCATAGCGCCATGTTCCATAGCAGATATTTGAACCTTGGGGTTGCTGAGGACAAATAATTATAGCCTTAACACACTGCGGTAATACAGCTAAACATGCACATACTTAGTAAAATCTAAATATTTTTTACATTTTATACTTATCCTGCATTACTCCTTAATGCATTTACTTCTTCTGTCTGTCAAGGCAGTGAGTTGGGTTTATCAATATCTAAGTCCTAATAGGGCATATGAGCTTAGCGATGCAGGTTATGTTTGCCATGTTGACCAGCAGATCCTGGTTTAGTAGGGGATGTAACTCTGCACAGGGCGATGTTGTGCATTAGTCTACTGAGCTATGAGTAACCAAATTTATAACCACTGTGGCCAATGCCACCTGCTGCTGTCTAAGGAACTGTTCCAATGATTTAGGACAATCTTGTTATTAGTTGAAATAGAAGTAACAAAAATTTGAAATAAATTAAATAATCCTCTACCCTGAGACTACTAAATTGTGCTGAGGACAAGTATAAATCCAATGATGGTAGTCCTCATTGACTAGTGGCATTTGAGGGCTGCAATTCTGAACCAGTTCTCAATGCTACAAATTGGAACTAAACAAAACTAACAGAAAATGTTTGGACAGTACCTCTGTAGTGCCGAGCCGAGGACGAGGGCTGCCTCCGCCTGGATCCTGTCACTGGTGTCATTGAGACTGGAAACAAGGAGCGACATGCCGCCCATGGCGCTGAACAGCTGGGCGTTGTCAATCTGGGGAATAAACGATGGTAGGTCTAATACACCATTCCTGTTTGGGGGGGAGCAAATGAATTTTGAAGACCACAGTCAGCAGGATTCCACCTATATCAAGAGAGTCTGTAAATACATGAGTCTGGTCCAGGCAATCCAGTGATCTATTTAGTTGACTCTTTTGACAAGCATAGGTTGCATGGGATCAGTATTAATCAGGAATCTCATGGGGTCCGATACATCTAAACATGACGACAAACGAACTAGTAAAACTAACTTTTGTCTATGGAACCGGGGATCTAATTTGCTTGAGAACATGATATTTAGAACTGTTTTAAACAGTATTGAAGTTGTATCACAAAGTTCAAGTATAGTGAGTGAGTGAGTTGGGTTTAACACTGCTTTGAACAGTATTCCAGTTATATCACGGTATGTCAGCTTAATGTGGGAGGAAAGCCAAAGTGATGCAGATCTCAGACGTAAACCGCTTTGGCAAAATCCACAAGCCTAGGTATGATGCTGACAAACCTGGAGACATAACTGGGACGAATCAGGATTCAAACCTGAGATCATAGGTTTCTGGCTGTGCACAAGGGATGCATCTGTGCACAGCGAATTGTGGCGTCTTAGATGACTGGGCCACTCACCAAGTACAACCATAATGTGGAAGGAAAGACAAAAATGTAGCAGGCCCTTATTACTTTAGTCAAACCCTCAGGAATGTATGAGGTGCTGACAAAACAAGGCCCATAAACGGCACAAATCAAGGATCTTAATTGGCAAAGATCAAGGATCATAATCGACATAGTCCAAGGATCATAGTTGGCAAAGATCAAGGGTCATAACCAACACAGTCCAAGGATCATAATTGGCAAAGATCAAGGATCATAATCAACACAGTCCAAGGATCATAATTGGCAAAATTCTAGGATTGTAAACGGAACACAATCCAAGGATCATAATTGGCAAAGATCAAGGATCATAATCAACACAGTCCAAGGATCATAATTGGCAAAATTCTAGGATTGTAAACGGAACACAATCCAAGGATCATAACTGTCACAAGCCAAGGAACGCAACTAGCACAACCAAGCATGATAATTGATGCAAATCAGGGATACCATCCAAGAAAAGCAGGTCATTAAGGAAAAGCTATACACTGAACATTACATTTCACAAAGCTTTATTACATTCAGTTAATGTTAAAGTATGGGATTTTCAGTGTTAGTGCTGAGTATAGTAAAAACTGATAACTAAGCAGAACTGTGGATGGTACTGTTGTGTAGATGGTACAGTGGTCCTACCTTATGTAGATGATACTCAAGTTCTGTCAGAACATTCTGCTTGGCATCATTGTCTGAACCGACTTTCTTGAAGCGTTCCAACAGATCGCTGATTATCTCACTGTCAGTTTTCATGGCGATGTTCATCTCCTCAAAGTCCTTCTTTAAATCATCGTATGACTTGAACTTCTTCTTAGCCTCGGCTGCTGACTGTGAGTCAATGCAACATACAGTAGTGAAGGAAAAAAGGCACATGGGGGTCTTTCTGATTCATTAAGACAAATAGTCAAAAGGCAAGAGCAGCTCACTTACATTTGTATTGAATATTTGTAACATATGTTTTGAAGGTCATTATTACAGGGTCATGCAGATACAAGCAGATGTCTTGATACAACAAAACATCAAGACTATTTCATATTAAAATAAGGGTTACCGTATTCGACATAATAAGCGCCCAGGGCGCTCTCAAAATTAGAAATAGGGGGCTCTTATTAGAATATTATTTTGGTGAAAAAAAAACCGGAGTTGAGAGATAAATTTCTTGGTTTATGCTGACAGCCTGAAATGTTTATGTATTATTTGCCCATAATTTAGGGTGCATATAACACACGAGTGCATATTATTCGCGATCAATCGGAAGTGGTGCCAATTGGGATTGTTCACTAGCCAATATATTAGCAAATATCGCCGTGGGCGCTTATTAGAGCGGGGCGCTTATTACGTTGAATACGGTATTTGAAATTCTGTTCTTTGAGCATGCTCATCAATCGCTATGTGTCTGTGCTGTTAACTTGGGTGAAAGTATATTTAGGCTTCATATCGGGGCATTCGTGACCAACTCGGATTATTCCCGGACAAGCCGAATAGCGACATGCCCCTATCATAGCCATTTTTGCGACCGGGTTCCATCTTAGCGCAAACGGGCATACCTAAAAACAACTGTCAACTCGTTGTGTAATGGTTCACATATATTTCCCCATATATTATATATATTTCAGATGCAATTTAAAGCAAATCTCGACATGCGGAATTATACAGTATGATAGAACACATTTAACTGTGTCTTGGATATATTTTTAGATGCATGACATATGTAAAATCAAAAATTATTTCTGAGAGATTCTTTGACAAAGAACTTGAAATCATATGTGCATTCTGATTGGTTTGTCGTATTTTCGCACTAGCAGGTTCTTCTTGCAGGTTACGGAAAGGGGCAAGTGGTGACAAATGCATATCTAACTTCAAATTGTTAGGTCATTTTAGGTAGAAACTCTTGTTACAATTGTTCTGCTAACTGTCAGTAGCAGCCAGTAGAAAGGTAGAAAGATTTCAAGTGCTATCGTGGCCAGATTTGAACCAGTCAACAGCTGTGAGTGGAGCTGTCCAGAATAGTTTCGTACTAAAATTTGAGTTATCCACCCTTGCTTTGTGCATGAACGCAGCTTAAAGGGCAAGTTCACATGGAAATGAACCTAATTTTCTTGTACTTTTTCCACAATAAAAGTGTTAACCTAGAAGTGTCATAGACAAAAATAAAAAAATATCACAATTAATCAACATATGTTTTGCATTAAGACGATTTATATTTTTCACATTTACCAAGTGTTCTATTTCCATAACAAAAACACCATGGCTTATGCCCCTTGCAATATGACGTCATTGGTGCCAATTGATAAACATTATGACGTCATCATGCTTTGTTAGAGCCGCTTCACGTGGTGTAGGTACAGGTGTGTGATTCTAGCGTCTCAGAAGCCAGCCAGCATAGTGTTATGCTGAGTCACCACTGCGCCGGAGTGTGTCGTAGGCCATGTTGTTTTACCGAAAACTTGTACTTGATATCTTTTGCGTTCTGAATAGACAGGGACCCAGTTGAATTGGCACCAATTATTTCATAATCTAAGGGAGATAACTCAGGCATGTTTAGCTCGAAAAACGAAGGCCTCATAACGGCATATCATTTTCACACTATTGTGAGCTTCCTACCTTCACTGTGAAAAAAATGAGTGTATATTTTCAAACACAGATACTAACTAATTCTAAAATTGCGTTTTGTTTAGGAAAAGAAAGAAGGTAATTTTTGCGTGCACTTCCCCTTTAAGCATTCTAGTAGTTCTAGAAGGGAAAGTTTCTGAAGAGCTAGTACCTTGGGATCCTGGCCGCTGGTGTCGGCGTGAGATTTGAAGTCCTTCAGTGCACGCTTCAACTCGTCTCGGGTAAACGACTTCTTGTCGGTGTTCACAATGCCTGAATAAACAAATCACATGCCTGTACTGAGGGTGACAGCCATCTGGACAGTTCTATTCTTAACAAACATGTATCATTTCGGGAGAGAATTTCATTTTATTTCTCTCAAGCAGATATAAAGTGTTTTCCATGTAAGGGAGATTTACTGTGCTGAAGGGGCGGTCGGGTAGCCTAGTGGTTAAAGCGTTCCCTTGTCACGCCGAAGATCCGGGTTCGAATCCCGACATAGGTACAATGTGTGAAGCCAATTTCTGGTGTCCCCCGCCGTGATATTGCTGGAATATTGCTAAAAGCGGCGTAAAACTATACTCACTCACTCGCTCACTACTGTGCTGGAGAACCTGGGAATCAGAGACAGATATAACCATTATGGTTTGGGCTTCAAAAGCTCCTAACAGTGATAGCCTTTCACGGAATACTATTGCCGCCACCAGTCACAGCTCCCCACTGTGCTAGTCAACCTACAACCATGCGTGGAGTTGAACTGGCAACCGGCAGGCCGTAATGTTTATATTCTAGTGATGACTGCAGTAGCTTCCAATACTTTTTCCCCAGTAAAATTATGTTTGTTTGTCCATGCCTACTTTGATGCTTTTGTTAGTCTGCAATCTCGAACCAATCTGATTAAGCAAACAAATGTAATTTCATCTTTCCCAAATCCCATACATCCACAAAAATACAAGTGACAACATATTTCAAGATTCTTGAAATGGCCACTTGCACTTGTGTTTTCATGTGCTGGTTCGGAGCTTGTGGGCTTCATAAGCAAAGGGAGATAATCTGACAACTACACTAGAGTTGCCTCCCTTTGATCATACCGCTACCTTGAGTATTACACCAAATTGAACACATATGAATGATAATGATTTCACAACGACCAATGCTTATAATGAAGCAGGGATACAGATAAGATCCGTATTTGCGTTGAATACGCCCCAAAACTATTCAAAACCCAATTACTTTCAATTACCTTGCGTACAGAAACATATGCATTAAATGAAAAACTCAATTGTTTAAAAACAGCACACGTATAATACCCAATGAAGCTTTTTCAGCGTGCGTACATCGGAGCTAATTTCCTGAACACAATTACGAGCTAATTTACTTTCCGAGTCAAACCTATATTTAGAACAATTATATACAGCTAAAACATTATTTCATTTTTTTTAAAACTCAAAATGCTTACTCATTTTGGGCAAAACCCATTTGAGTGATGAATAGATGAGTGAAAAAATATTGTTTACCCAATTAAAATAATAACCCAATTAAAATAGAAACCTTCGAGTAAAAACTCAATTTCTCAAAACGTTATCGGGAGCTCTGATGAAGTGATCCATACCTTCTCTGAAGCCAAGCGGGGCGGTCAGGTAGCCTGACGGTTAAAGCGTTAGCTCGTCATGCCGAAGACCCGGGTTCGATTCCCGACATGGGTACAATGTGTGAAGCCCATTACTGGTGTCCATAGACATGATATTGCTGGAATATTGCTAAAAGCGGAGTAAAACCGTACTCACTCACTGAAGCCAAGCTCGTTCCTACCTTGATGAGATCCGGCCTGCCAGAATTTATTTCCACTGTCATCCTCGTTAAGTTTGGCTTCCGTCAAACCGGTCTGAAAGTTCATCCTGACATGGAGCCCCTTTGGTATGGCCTGACCTGAGGAGAGGTTGAAGGGAAAAATTGCAATACACTTTGTTCCATTTTTTAGTTGTATTATGGCATGTCAGATTTGGAGGATCTATCACAATTACTATGTCTGAGTGGGGTATTCATGTTAACCTGCAGCATGGTATCTAGTCGTGGTAGGACGATACACGATGCATCAGTGGATTGTGATTTTTTACTTCTCGATACAAGTCGCATACTTAGTAAAAAATATCGATTCTGACCTTGAATGTTTGTTTTGATAACTGCTCCACTAAACACTAATCAGTACTGCAAGTTAATCATGTTAATAGTGAAAACATACATATTTTCATTTGTTGTGCCATACTTCACACTGCCAACTGTAAATCATCCGTATGATGTATTTGGCCATCCTCTCTATGGAAAAATGGCTTACGCACCACATGCACATGCAAGTATCGTGATACATATCGATCGTGAGTAAGGTATCGTGATACATATCGGATCGCACAGTTGGTGTGTTGGTGCATTTGTGCAAACAGAATTCATTCAATTATAACTAATAAGAATCTATAAAAAAAACTATACATCAACCAATCTGAAACCCATTGTCTTGTTACATATCACATAAATGTTTCAGATTCCTAGGACATGAGAGTTCCTGGAAGTGTGAACGTAGGTGTGTCTCCTCAGTCAGCAATATTCCAGTGACATTACAACGGTCGGGACCAAACAGCCAGGGTCGATATCATGAGTACTGTCATCATCTTCCCCATTTCGTGATTTCAATTCGATTAGGCATAAACTCGTTAGTCCAGCCAAAACATAACTCCATAATTCCAGCCTAGTTCAGCAAGGGTAGAAACTGGACTTTTACAGTCAGTTAACTCCTTTGCCTTGGGAAGATGAACTGTCCCACACCGTTGGAGTGGAAGAAAGACCATGCATTCCTCTCTCGGCAAGAACAAATTACAGGGAACCATTTTTACTATGAATTTCGACAGGTAATAAAACACTCTAGCAGATAAATCTTTAAGATTTTCCACAATTTCATTTGTTTTCAATTTTTCCCAAAACACAAATATTTTTGTGTTGACATCATCATGATCATGAGGGGAGATGGGATTCCAAATTATTGCACTTTTATCCCAACAAGCATGCAAGTGTGTGTATGTGGCTTCACGTACTTGTCCAGACTTTATAGTGCTAGCCCACTGAGATACAATGCTGCAGGTTAACATGAACACACCACCCAGACACAGTATACATATATCTATTGGGATTTTAGTATTCATAAGATTTCTATTTTCGTATTGATGTGGTTTGATTTTTGAAATTGATAAAATTTCTTTGCTCTTACGTTTAGATACATTCGAGTAGTTGACCATGTTTCAGAAATAGCGTTTGGCTTTTGCTATTTGCATCTCTTGGCTTTAGGAGATCTATGACAGATAGTTGATATAACTGCAATTCATGTTTTAGAAGTCTGATGGCAGTCACAGGATAGATATAATTGTCACACATAAATATGTCACCAAAAATGTCTTTGTATCTTGTCAACTCAAAATGATAGGTGAAGGGTCACCGAGGTGTGTAGGGTGTCAAACATGAACATACGCCAACAAGCGTCAATAGATCTCAGCATGTTGACAATGTGATAAACATTTGAAGAACATGTTGTTTATAATTGTTGTTTCGAAAGACTATTAAAATCAACGAACAGTGCAAGATTAGAGATGATGGAAAAAGCTACCAAAAGCAATGCCTGAGTGCAACCATTGGTTCAGCCCTGAGTCCAGATACAGCTGAACTTCACTCCTAGACATTGAAATTGCGATGTTTTATGTCGTATTATCTGCATGAGCTTTCAATTGTGATGCTAAGTACAATGAAATGCTACCTTTTTTAACGGTTTGCCATTCTTTTGTTGGATAGAAGACATCATATTCCTTTTCCGTCTTTTCTCCTTCGTCCTCTCCGTTTTCATCTATGGATATTATTCCATCTGAAACACATGCAATAGTATTAAAAGTCCAGTCTCACATTGATGTACAAACATGCTAAAGGAAAGTCCATACTCTAAGCCATTGTCCCAGTCATAGAGTAGCGCCAATAGTCAAGCCATGATGATATCACCGAATTTTACAAATATTTTTCAAATTTTTGATGTTCATAACAAACTAGCTGCTGAAGTTGAACAGAATTCTGGACCAGGAATACAACTACATCCTGATATTACAGTGATCTTCCTGTTCTTGTTAGCAGAGGATATTATACCAATTTCTGATACCATAGATGGACTTCAGAAGCATATTGTATTATAATGATTATGATTTAGACGTCAATTTGGATAAAACTAAGGTGGTTGTTTTAAAGAGGAGGGTGTCCGACATTTGGTTTTACAAAGGTCTAAAGTTGGAGTGTGTATCTTCCTAAAAGTATTTGGGCGTCACTTTTACGAGAAGCCTGTCCTGGTGAAGTCATTTTGTCTAATGCTGGTTTACAAGGGAAATATGCAATGTTTGTAATTTTAAAGTCATTGACAAAATTACATCCTCTTCGACATGACTTATAATGCTTATATTTTAAATATTTGATATGAAAATGTTGCTCTATGGTTCCGAAGTCTGGGGTCTACACCAGAATGATGAAATAGAAACTATACATACATTGGCATGCAAGTGCTTTCTCAGAGTCAAATAGTCAACACCCAACAACATGGTTCGAGGTGAATGTGGGCGTTATCCTTCATATCTATATACCTCTGGTCAACCAATAAGAATGAAGGATTCTAAAATATTCATGGTAGAATGTCAAATAACAGTCTTTTCCACAATCAATTTGGGAAACTTACAATCAATCAATGTAGTGAGTGAGTGAGTATGATTTTAGCAATATTCCAGGAATATCACGACGGGGGACACCAGAAATGGGCTTCACACATTGTACCCATGTCGGGAATCGAACCCGGGTCTTCGGCGTGACGAGCGAATGCTTTACCACTAGGCTACCCGACCACCCCATCAATCAATGTAACTGATGAATCATCGACTATAATCACTGATAGAAGTAATAAATACCATTGTCCTCCTCTTCCGTCTCCACGACTGTAAGTGCCCCCTCTCTGCCTGGGGGGGTCTCGCTGTGCACACACAGGCTGTAGAAGGCACATCCCAGGAACAGCATCAGCACCATCAGGTTGACTACCTTGATGCTTTGCAGCAGCATCGTCATTGGGTAGGATATGTGGAGTTATGTCACTGATGGGGGAAGCTGTATTGAATGTCACTGATGGGGGAGCGTAAATAGACTGATGTCACTGAAAAGATAAAGCAAAATATTAGTTTATCAGTTTTGGGTTCATTAACAAAATCACAAGAGAGACAAATACTGACAAAAATGGCAGTCTCAATCATGATAATTACAACAGGTGTGTGTTTGTTGGTTGTTTAAAGCTGCATGCAGTAATACTCCAGCTTTTGACGACATTCTGTAAATAACTGAGTCTAGGTCAGAATATCCAGTGATTGATATTATGATTAATGCCATTGGGGTATGCTGACACGCCACCAACCAAGTCATCGAGCTTGACCACCCAATTAGTTTGGTCGCCTCTTACAACCAGCATAGATTGCTGGAGACCAATTTAAACCCTGAATCCCCACCGGTTAATATAAGGGTAACGCTATTTTTCAGGGCATTATCATTTGCAGAAGCGTGAGGTCTTCCATTAACTGCCCGATGAAGGAAACAACAATATCGGTTTTGAAACATTTAGTGCAATCAACACGAATGTCACTGACCCACTTTTACAAATATGGAAACGTCATAGAACAAACCTGATGTCACTATTGAACTATAGTCACTATTGACGTCACCTATTCCTATGATGTCACCTAACAATGGGCGTGATGATAGCCCGTTGTCAAGCAATATGAGGGCATTATCAAGTTACAGTGGCCCGCTCATTTCTGATAACATGCAGGCGGTTTAATGATAATTCTATCCATTTTAGCTATAATATATATTTATTAGGCCATGACAGAAAAATAAACTAAATAACCATTTTCACAAAGAGGACATACTGGCAACATCACAATTTTAAAACGAATATCATGGTATCTTTAATACAGTACTGGTTTTATAGGTGGTATTGTACGGGTTATTTTATTCAGTGGGTTTAATTCCGAGACAAAAGACATTATTTCGACAAATACGGTGAACGCTAAACATCAAATACCGAGCTTCCGAATCAGTACTAGCATTCCAAGACACTCCTATTTTGATTAAACAACACGTACTAAAGGTACTTACATCAAGATGACCATGCAGTGGCGCCGTTTGTGTTTTGAATCTCACAGGGAGACTACAGGCAATATTTGAAACGTTCACAGGAAATCACTTTGTCGGACAGAAACGTCGTCTATAATGTGTGCATTACTATCCGGGGCAAACTAGTTTGTCAGTTCTCGCAGGTAACTGTTACGTGGAGTTACAATGTTTGGTTTTGTTGTTGAACATCGAGGGTTTGCATCAGATTTTCCACGAGTTCGACTTGGCGGATCCACGTTTCGCCACGTCAGCCATTAATATTTTCGATAAATATAAAAGCTGTCAGCATTTCCGAAAAAGGATCACGAAACAGTTCATTGACACGATATAAATGTGAAGTATATGATGCAGATAATCATTCACAACTCATATATTTCCATTTGCAAGTGTATTGTGTGGAATCAAAGTGAAATTGTCGAGTGAAGCGAAAATTGCTTTGTTCTATTTCGTTATAGTTTTGTTTGAAGTCTTTTACATTTTCATAGCGGGAGCTATTTTTAGCTATAGGAAAACACCAGCTTTATTTTTAGAAAGAATGCTTTTTCATGTTATTGATCACTGTTGCAGGCCGCTGAGTTGACGCTGGTCTCTCTCATTATGTCCAATAATAAATGTTCCACAGGAACAAATGTTAGCAGAGAACTCATTAACTAGTTAAATCTATTCCTGTTCCGACTATATTCTCAACGGAACTGTTTGTTTGTTTGTTGTTTAACGCCCCACTCAGCAATATTCCAGCAAAATGACGGCGGTCTGTAAATAATCGAGTCTGGACCAGACAATGCAGTGATTGACATCATGTGCATAGATCCACACAATTGGGATACGATGACATGCATCAACCAAGTCAGCGAGCCTGACCACCCGATCCCGTTAGTCGCCTCTTAACACAAGCATATTATAGTTTTTTTACAGCATGGGTTGCTGAAGATCTTCGACCTATTCTACCCCGGATCTTCACGGGTCGTACCATATAGAACATACATGTACTTGATATATTGTTAGCTTCAAAAATAAAATGCCAAATTCATTTAAACAGAAGCTACTCATCGTGGGTTAACGGGCATAACATATACGTATAGTATATTAATATCTTCACAACATATGAATGATGCTAGTCTATAGTAATTGGCTATGACTTTTAGTGATAAATCTAAATAGTGTATATATATAGATCACAATATATCGTGTTAAATAAATTATAAATTATATGTTGTGATATTGAAATATCTTCGTTCAATCTATCAAAATATGACTGAAACGAGGAACAGTGAATGCTGTCATCCGATGCAGTGAATAAATATTATAGTATTTGCAAGGTTATGCAATCAAATATTTTGTACAAGGTGATACACATTTTTGGTTTTTCATTTCTTTCAGAAAAAGCAGTAGAGACCGAACTTTAATTCGGTTTCACAAACTCCTGCCTGAATTTTCAATCGTGTAGGACCATGGCGAATGATGTTTAACACAGCAGCCAGCAATATCCCAACTATATCATGTCGGGCTGTAATTTATAGAATCTAGACAAAATGAACCGGAGACAAAATTATTTGTAGCAACATTTTCATGCATTGATATATAGATATCAAAATACTGGCATGTGTGTAATACTGATTTTACGAAACGAAAGAATTCTTGTAATTCCCGCGCGAGAGCGAGTGTGGCAAGTGTTATTATTTCTTTATTATCCCTTATTTCTTAATCCCATTGGGTCCCGCATTAGAATTATCCTCTGATCACGACCGCCGTCCTAGCAAACCATTGTCAACAATCTTCCGCTCTGGCACCGTTTCTAGTGTGACGTCATTCCGACCTTGTCTCAAAAAGAATCGAATGACGTAAACAATGCCGTTGAGATGACGTAAACATTGCACTGATGCGAGTGACGTGATACTTGCAGTAGTGCACATTTGCGAACTTTGTGTAGTCGTTTATTTCAAACCCTATGCTTAACAAACTATGTATTTATCAAAATTATGTTATCATATGTCCTTATCTTACCTCACACAAGGCCGGTCGGGTAGACTAGTGGTTTAAGCATTCGCTCGTCACGCCGAAGACCCGGGTTCGATTCCCGACTTTATAATTGCAACATACCAACCGTAATTTTGTAGACGCCATCTCCGGATACTTACGATAATTTCCGAATGAAATAGATCTAGGGGGAATAACTCTAACTTTTTTTCTGTCGTCTGCTTTAAGTGGCGGTAAGATACATTCGTTGTCCACTGGTCCTTCGGGTGACTGCGAGACCGGTGGATAACTTTTATTTTAACTCTGCTACCAAAACAATGCAAGTTTTCTTGTTGTGTTGTCTACACTTTAGACAATCCACGGATTGCACTGGAAACACGCAGCCTGACTTGTATTTTATGAATACCCTACAACATATTGTGTCTTCGGGGCGAGTTGAAGCACATTTCATTTCAAAGGGCTGAAACATGGTCACTGTAAACTGTGATCAGTTCCTTTGAGGACCCTTGAAGATCCAGCTTAGAATAGGTCTTAAGCAACCCATGCTTGCCGTAAGTCAGGCTCGCTGACTTGACTGGCACATGTCATCGTATCCCAATTGCGTAGATCAATGCTTATGGTGTCAATAATTGGATTGTCTGGTCCAGACTCGATTATTTACAGACCGCCGTCATTTTGCTGGAATATTGCGGAGTGCGGCGTTAAACAACAAACAAACAAACAGTTCCGTTGATAATAATTATAGTCCGAACAGGAATAGATTTAACTAGTAAATGAGTTCTGTGGTAAAATTTGTTCCTGTGAAACATTTATTATTGGAGATAAAGTTCCGGAGGAAATTATTAAGAGGTAAGAACACAGAACACAGTAGGTACCTACGTCTTCCGCAGGGGGACAATCACACGGCTTCAAACACCCAGTATGTTTCAATAAGTGCTTTTTCTGGTCATGAAGTAACCTAATCTGGATTTTATAATATTCTTTCATGTACCATGTTTTTTCTTCTCAGATTACTTACTTTTATTACGCCAGTAATTATCATAATTTATGCGGGCTTAGGCTGTTTTAGAGTCACGTGGTTATTTCTCGTGGGGCACGTGCGCGATTCACGTGAATCGTTCTTTTCACCAGCAACAAGATAGCGCTTGGTCGTTCACCTGTTAGACAGCAGCAAATATGGAAAGGGACGCAAAGGAATATTTCTGGGGTGAGATTGTGCTCTTTTAAAACATGCACCGTGATTCATAACAACATTGGTTTAAAACTGTTTTAGACTGAACTGTCCAATTGATCTACTTGGGAAGGTGTAACGGTGCGTTTCACGTAGGTGTAATTTGGGAGAAATGCTTTTCAATTGCCCAAATACAACATGTCTGACGATTCGAAATGTCCGTCTTCAACTCGGGAGTTTTTAAAAATGACTTATGTTTCAGTGTTTGTAATACGTAAATCTGTCACATTTATTAATTATATATTTTTTGTCCCAGAAACCAAGAATTGGGCACGTGCTTTTGTGGATTTTCGTTAAATGAGATCTCACACATGTCATATTGAAATGAATATTGATGTAAACAAACATCCTATTTGGCAATTCCTTGCTTTATATATGAGCTTCTTACATCATTTATACATTTATGTTCTGGCACAAATAAGGTACTAATTAATATTGATAGGAATTAGAGATATTTAATTATTTACATACATGTTTATGAATGTTATAAAATGTGCGTCTGGTGTAAGAATAGCACTATAAAAGGTTGTAGTATTAACTTAGAAAATCAGATAAGATCCAACTCAAGTGTGAACAAATACTGTGAGTAATGTTTTTGCAGATTATAACTGGATTATGAGTTTTATTTGAAGTTTAATCATGATTTCTATTCCCATTTTCAACTTGCACGCATCTATAAGTGAAAACAAAAAAATAAACTCCAATTACAATCATCATGTTTCATTCTGACAAGTCCCTGGGGGTATCGAGTTAGAATTAGACCCCAGCAACCTTTGCTGGTCGTAGTCTGAGATCCCCTTGAAGATCTGGAGCAAATGGTCATCAGCAACCTATGCTTGTAAGATATGACTAACAGTATCAGGTAGTCAGGTTCACTGTGTAGTCCCACTTACGTAGATCGATGTTCAATCACTGGACTGTCTGGTCAGGTCTCGTTTATTCACAGACCGTCGTCATAAAGCTGTAATATTGCTGTGTATTGCGTTAAACAAGAAACATGTTTTAAAGCGAGGAGACAAAATGGATCGGGTTTTAAGCTCGGTGACTTGATCGATTGCCGGTCATCGTACCCCGACGGCGTGGATATTTGGACATATCAATTATTGGATTGAGTGATCTAGACTCGATTTTTTACAGATCGCAGTCACATAGTTGTAATAACGGTGTTTAACACACACACACACACACACACACACACACACCATACATATACATATTTTTTGATAACTTACGAAAGGGATGTATATTGTTGGTAGTAATGTTGCCTTTAGACAGGTTGTGAATTGTTTGGAGAAGACAACTCCTACTCGAAAGTCTGGCCCAACTTAGTGGTTACTATGTGATGTGCGATAATTATAGGCTGGGGTTACGGATGTAGTTCTTTGCGAAAATGAATTGGCACAAATCAGGTTGGGGATGGAAACTGATAAGCGTATCGTATATCACACGAGCTATGTCAGATGAGGGAAATTTTCCCATATGACACCTGTTTGTTGGGACGCTTATGAAAATTACCACAATTTAATTTGGAAACTTTAATTGCCTTATGTAGCAGTGTGCACAGATCAGATATTTAAGGCAATATTTTCATTTGAACACGCATGCATGTTCACTTGTTTTCAGCTACTAAGGGGGCATGCACAATTTTCTGAGATAATTGACATCAGTGCTGTTTGTCATCGATTAATATCGAAAAAGTTCCACCTCGTGACAAACTTGTCTGGATGGATTGTTAGTTTCATACATCCATGTATTATAACAGTTCCCACATATACTACTCAAAAGAAGTTAAGGCCATCCGATTCTTTCATATTACTATAGATCTGGCACGGCGAATAACCGAATACGTGTCCGGATAGGCGAGGTTCACGTGTCCGGATAGGCGAGGTTCGACTGTGGTGCTTAAAGCTCGGGACTATTTGTTCCGGAATACCAGGGGTGTGTGGGGGATTGGTGTTGTGATGGTGTTACTGTTCCTGCAGGTTGCCAGCTGACGAAGGAGGCCCCTTCCCAGACATGGTCATTTCAGGAGGAGGAAGAAGACTCTGACTACCTCGTCCACACGCTCTTCCTCAGAAATGTCAGTATTCTTTTGCAGTGAATGAACACTCCATTTCTTGTGTCCCCGCCGTGAATTTGCCAGAATATTGCTAAAAGCGGCCTAATTTCCAACTTACTCACACTATTCACTCTGTTGCACTTATTTGCTTGTTATACCCCCGGCATATAATGCGGGGGGATATAGCGATCAGCCTGTCTGTCCGTCCGTCCGTCTGTCCGTCCGTAATCATTTCCTTTCCGGGGCAGAATTCCAAAACCATTCAGTGTATTTGATCGAAACTTGGCAAATCTATCAGGCACATACTGAAGTGGTGCCTCTTAAATTTTGGGATTTTTGTAATTTTTATTTTTTTAAATCTTTATGGAATGAAGTTGGACATACTCAATTGGGATTGGAGTTCGTTTCCGGGGCAGAATTCGAAAACCATTCAGTGTATTTGATCGAAACTTGGCAAAGCTATCAGGCACATACCAAAGTGGTGCCTTTTGATATTATTTTCTTTTACGAATTTTTATTTTTTACACTTTTATGGAAAGAAGTTGGACCTAGACTCCATTTGGGAACGGGTTCGTTTCCGGGCCAGAATTCGAAAACCATTCAGTGGGTAAACAATGTATGCTTCTTAAAGAACATTCAACTGTTGACTCATTACATAGAGAATTGCACATTTACTAGGTGTTACTTTACAGACAGCTGCCGGGGGGGATATGTAATCTTTCTGATGACTCTTGTTTAATACAGTAACTGCAATACTACACATTCACAAATCTGCAGTCCTGATGTACTATTACGACTATGTACAGAGCGTCTACCGCTACAGGGGAAGGTCTGTGGTTCGATGCCCGGGCACGTCATGTACCAAATAACGTAAACATAATTTTTTTATGGTACATGTTATCCTTCCAGGCTCTCGGGACCGCCTCCGTGGTCAAGTGGTAGAGCGTCTCGTGTGGAGAGGCTCACTGACTTGGTTGATGCATGTCATCGTATCCCAATTGCGTGGATCGATGCTCATATCTATCACTGGATTGTCTGGTCCTGACTCGATTATTAACAGACCGCCGTCATATGGCTGGAATTTGCTGAACGCGGCGTTAAACAACAAACATACAAAATACAAAAGAGGGATTAGAATTGGTCTTCAGTAATCCATGCTTGCTGTTAAAGAGGCGACTAACGGGATCGGGTGGTCAGGGTTGATGACTTGGTCGTTTTGTCATCGTATGCCAATTGCGTAGATCGATGCTCATGATGTCAATCACTGGATTGTCTAGTCTGGTCCAGACTCGATTATACAGACCGCCGTCACATAGCTGGAATATTGCTGAGTATGGCCTTAAGAAACAACACTCCATATGATTATGTACAGTCAAAATGAGTTTCCCTATACCATAATGTCTTCACTATGAGCAACATCTCGGCAAGTTTTTAGTATAGAATTGCAGCATTAACACTACCACACTGTCGTAAGTGTTATATATGCCCAATGATCTTATGCTATTGAACGCCACTGGCAAATATTTGAATTTGAGGACAAGAATTTGTAATACTAGAGATTGTACGAATAGGGTTGTAATCCTCTCCTCCCTCCATGAACTATAATTTAAGTTTATTTTAATTTATTGCTGTCCCATATTCCCCCTGTCAAATGGTGATAAAACACAACTCAATTACACGGCTTCATACTTGGACCTGTATCAGTTGGTTAAATAAGATTTTTACAGATTTAGATTTATTCCTGTAAATTGAACCGCGTGTTTCAGTCTGTCCTGGGAGCCGAGGCCGTGAAAGGAGAACTGAATATTGTACAGGTGGAGACGAAGAGTTTTGAAGATAAGGATATCAAGCAACCATTGTTCTCGTTACGGAATGGTGGACAAGAAACGGTAAGTTTCCTTCAAAATGCATGGCATGGAAACAGTGTTACAATGTCGTTATTTTTGGACTGGTGAGTTTGTAGCTAGTCCTGCTCGACTGACTTAAGAATCATAACTTTGAGATTTGGCAAAGTGTTAGTCATCAAATGTGAGTAGTCATTAAAGACAGACAATGAATTTTACTTGTCCTCCCACAATTTAGTTCTCTCGGGCTTGAAGACTGCCATGAATTATTACAGACCGCCGTGATGAATGGAATATTGCTGATTGTGGCATTAGACAACCTTCAAAAACATCGTTTTCATCACCATTCACAAAGTATAGATTTTAGAGCCGCTTTCGTTAACTTCAAGGCCCACCCCTCTCTGGGGAATACCCGGTTAGAACCGGTACCCAGCAGCCTGTGCTGGTCGGGCGGGAGAGGCGGACAATTGGGTCCGTTGGTCAGGCTCGGTGACTTAGTTGATATCGTGCACTCGTACTCCTACAGCGAGGATCATTGTTCATTATCAGTCACTGGAATTTCTGGTCAAAATTGATTATTAACAGGGCAGACATATAGCTGGAAAATTGCCGAATTCTACGTTAAAAAAACAAAGAAAAAAACCATCACCCAAAATGTATGCATACAACTTGTTTAAAGTTGCTATGTTCATTGTTTGAAAGTCTGGAGGGAAAGATATAGTTGTAGGTCTATCAACGATATTAAAACTGCTGCGGACGTCATATACGATAAGAGTAGTCTCCCCTTGACCATATAACGTCCTCCTTTCGTAAAACCACTTCCATTGTGTTTCCATGACATAGCGAATGTAATATCAATGGGACAGGATTGATTTGTGGATTTCAACGTTTCTTATTCATTTGTAATGCGATGTTTCAGTACAGATGTTAGTACTATTGTCAAGCATTTTAAAGGTTTCTTGTTCAAATATGTGTAGTTGACAGACTTTAAAAAAAACAAAAAACAGCTGAATATTATTTTTAATTGTATAGAAAATTATGGATACTTTTCAGATGACGATGGACCTGAGTTTTGCCGGTGCGTGTAGCACCACGTTCCGGCTGGTTGAAGGTTCAGGGCCAGTACACATAGGTGGACAACATCTAGTGGGTAGGTCAACATACCGATAGTAGGGATAGTTGGTGTGTCACGACGTCAATAGTGGGTAGGTCAACATACCGATAGTGGGGATAGTTGGTGTGTCACGACGCCAATAGTGGGTAGGTCAACATACCGATAGTGGGGATAGTCGGTGTGTCACGACGCCAACAGTGGGTAGGTCAACATACCGATAGTGTGGATAGTTGGTGTGTCACGACGTCAATAGTGGGTAGGTCAACACCGATAGTGGGGATAGTCGGTGTGTCACGACGCCAATAGTGGGTATGTCAACATACCGATAGTGGGGATAGTTGGTGTGTCACGACGCCAATAGTGGGTAGGTCAACATACCGATAGTGGGGATAGTTGGTGTGTCACGACGCCAATAGTGGGTAGGTCAACATACCGATAGTTGGTGTGTCACGACGCCAATAGTGGGTAGGTCAACATACTGACAGTGTGGATAGTTATTGTGTCACGACGCCAATAGTGGGTAGATCAACATACCCATAGTTGGGATGTCGGGGTACTGATAGTGGGGTTAGTATAGGTATGCCAGAACACCGATAGTATGTCGGGATACGGATATGTCGCTCTATCAAGAATGAGGATAGTGGGTATGTCATGATACTGACAGTGGGGTTAGTGGGTATGCCACAACACTAATATTGGATATAGTATGTTTGGATACTGATAGTTGGTATGTCGCCATATCGAGAATGGGGATAGCGGGTATGTCATGATACTGACAGTGGGGTTAGTGGGTATGCCACAACACCGATATTGGGGATAGTATGTTTGGATACTGATAGTTGGTATGTCGTCATATGGAGAATGGGGATAGCGGGTATGTCATGATACTGACAGTGGGGTTAGTGAGTTACTACAACACCGATATTGGGGATAGTATGTGTGGATACCGATAGTTGGTATGTCGCCATATCGAGAATGGGGATAGTGGATATGTCATGATACTGACAGTGGGGTTAGTGGGTATGCCACAACACTAATATTGGGGATAGTATGTTTGGATACTGATAGTTAGTATGTCGCCATACCGAGAATGGGAATAGTGGATATACTATGACACGATACTGATAGTGGGTATGTCATGATACCGATAATGGTTATGTCATGATATCAATACTGTGTCTTGTTGCGATGGTATGTCATGATACCGATAATTGGTATAATTGCTGTATCACGACACCGATAGTGGGTGTCACGATGCCAATTGTGGGTGTCACGATGGGGATAGAGTGAGTATGGTTTTACACCGCTTTTAGCAATATTCCAGCAATATCACGGCGGGGGACACAAGAAATGGGCTTCACACATTGTACCCATGTCGGGAATCGAACCCGGGTCTTTGGCGTGACGAGCGAACGCTTTAACCACTAGGCTACCCGACCGCCCCCGATGGGGATAGATGGTATGTAACATTACATATAGTGGGTGTCACGATACCGATAATGGCCATGTCGGTACCAATGTTGGGAATGTCACGATATCGGTATTGTGTATTTCATGATGGGATAATATGTCACAATACTAAAAGATGGAATGTCGCCATTTCGATTGGAGGAATGTCACGGTACACGATACCTTGTATGTAACGAAAGCACGTATTTCACGGTCCAGACACACGGTGTCACGATACTGGATCGTATTTGCGTCCCGATACCCATAGCGTTAGTTGATACGTTACAAAACAAACAACGAAGATGAAAGTATGCCACAATAATAGTAATGCATGTTTTATGCAGCATTAAGCCGCCTGTCGTGGACTACCGAAACAAGGGGCGGTCGGGTAGCCTAGTGGTTAAAGATTCGCTCGTCACGCCGATGACCCGGGTTCGATTACCGACATGGGTACAATGTCACCGCCGTGATATTGCTGGAATATTACTAAAAGCGGCGTAAAACCATACTCATGCACTCACTACCGAAACGAGGTCCTAACCTTGTACCATGCTGTTCCTAACCTTGTACCATGCTGTTCCTAACCTTGTACCATGCTGTTCCTAACCTTGTACCATGCTGTTCCAGAATTCCCACCCGAACACAACATGAGTCAAGACGAGTCCGAGTTCTTTACCGAGGACGACATCGAACACGAGGACGACGATGATGAAGACGACGAGGAAGATTCGCCCAAGGGCAAGAAGTCCCAGAAGAGAAAGGCCAGCTCACAGACAACAGCTAAGTCGAAGGTAGATCAGGTACTTTTATTGTGGTTAGTGAGGTATTTACACAGGGATTCTTAGCTGCCAGTACTCCCAGGGCCCGTTCCACAAAGCCAACGTAGCGCAATGACAGTTGTAAGTCTGTTAAAGTAGTGGAGTTACGATCACCTTAGACGATCACCTTAGCGCTACGATCGCCTTGTGGAAGGGACTCCTGCTCGAGGCAAATGATCAAATGGGGCTTTCACTGATAACAAGTGACTTTCATATCTGTACTCCTCAAAAGAAGTTAAGGAACACCCGATCCTTACATGTTACTGCAGTCAATCTGTCATTCCACGATAGATTAACTACAATATATAGTAATAGTTTGTTTGTTGTTTAAAGGAGCACTCAGCACTATTCCAGTTATGACGGCGGTCTGTAAATAATCGAGTCTGGACCAGGCAATCCAGTGATTGCTATCAGGATCAGCTATCCACGCAATTGGGATACGATGACATGCATCAACCAAGTCAGCGAGCTTGGAGATCTATTCTAACCAGGATATTCACGGGTGTATAGTACCGGGGTAATAGGAAATACGTGGTCCTTGACTTCTTTTGAGTGGTATAGTTTTAGACTATTTCATCGTATGCAATGCTGAAATACCCTAGGATACGAAATGCCGTTGAGCCTTGTGATAGCAAAACCTAGAATTGCAAGTAATTTAGCCATTTAAGAAATGTTTTGATAGAACAAAACCGATGCTTAATGTCTTGTAATCATGTTGATTGTTTGTTGTTTAACGCCCACTCAGCAATATTCTCGCTGTATGACTGCGGTCTGCAAATAATCAAATGTGGCGCAGACAATCCGGTGAATGACATCGTGAGCATCGATCTACGCATGCATCAGCCACACCCCGAGCTTGGTCATCCCCTTTGTCCACAAGCATGGGTTGCCGAAGACCAATTCTAACCGGGATCTTCATGGGCCTGTAATCAATTGCGTATATAATTGAAATTATTGTTCCCCTGAAGTGAGATAGTTCCCCAACCTTGCGAGTGAAAAGTTCCAACAGGCCAGAAGTAAATGCAATACCTACCTGCCAGTGTTAACACGTTTGGTGCTGCATCTGAATTGTTTTTCAGAAAGGAAAGATGGAAGTTAGCGCTGAGGACGAAGACGACGACGAAGACGTAAGTGTAGTTTGTGTCGTTGCATGTCCTCGTGAACATAAAATTTGATATTTGTTTTAGGAAGGCATAGTCTCTCGTCAACTGTCAGACAAGCACGTTTCGCTCAAGTTATACAAGTCATTTGCTTGTTAACTTGAATTTTAGGGTGTAGATAATCTATGGGATAAGTATCTTATTGAAAGAGACGATTTCCCGGTTTCACTCGTGAAATAAATTACGTCTAGAACTTGAAATAAGCACCGCACCATGATAATGGTCTCTCTCAGCATATTAAACAATAAATGTACAATATAAACGGTCAATTTTCTTCTCCTAGTCCTATTTGCAGGTTGCTCTAGCGTCACTACCACCAGACCCGTGAAGATTCTGGGTAGAATAAGTCTCAAGCAACCAATACTTGCAGTGAAAGGCGACTATGCTTGTCGTGGGGGCACGGGTGGCCCAGTCGTCTAAGGCGCCGCAATTCGCTGTGCAGAGTTGCGTCCCCTAGGCACGCCAGAATCCTATGATTGTGGGTTCGAATCCCGGTTCGCGCCGATTATGTTTCTAGGTTTGTCAGCACCATACCCGTGCTCGAGGATTTCACCGAAGTGGTAAACGTCTGAGACCTGCATCTCTTCGGGCTTTTACTCCCACATTAAGCTGCCACGCCGCGATATAACTGGAATACTGTTAAAAGCGGCGTTAAACACAACTCACTCACTCACTCACTATGCTTGTAGTAAAAGGCGACTAACGGGGTCGGGTGGTCAGATTCGCTGACTTTGTTGATGCATGTCATCGTATCCCAATTGCGTGGATCGATGCTAATGTCAATCACTGTATTGTCTGGTCCAGACTCGATTATTTACAGACAGCCATCATTATAGCTGGAATATTGCTGAGTGTGGTGTTAAACAACAAACAAACCGAACACTGGTTTGTCTGGTCCTATGATTCATATGCCGCCGTGATGTCCACTGCAGGGTCAAACATTCTTACGCCTCTCGGTGTTCTGTTCCCATTCACGTGATTTTTTTGTTATGGTTGAAAACAAATAATTTTTGAAAGGGAATCCCCGCCGCGTCATATCACAAAACGTTAAAATATGGTATTTGTGCTGGTGCTTGGCATTGAGGGAATAAAACAAGGAGTCGGACCGTGTCTGAGTTGGGTATTCATGTTAAACTGCGGCATGGTATCTTGATAGCACTAAAATAATCGGCATTCGTCCGGACTGGTCCAAGCAGACGCACACACGTGTCTCTATATAAGTGCAATTAACTCGAACGCGATGTTAAACCCCATCTCAACTCACCTTGAACGCAACGTTAAACCACATTTCACCTTACCGTCTACTTTTGTCAGCACTGTTTAATTTTTCTGCTTTTTAAGTAGACGTCTAATCTTGCACCACACATACTAAATAGAACCAGACAACCTCGGCTCATTTTGTCCAGTCACGATTAAGATTGTAACTTATGGTCATTAGTGAAATTAAACACTTTTAATTAGTCAATTTGAGAAATTGCTACTAGCATCAAGCAGATCATGTTGCCGAACTGTTGCCTGTCGACCGAGGACGCCCGCCGCATGGAGGAATGTCCCCGGTGAAGGGGCAGTGTATAAAACAGCCGCTTGAGATGAAACAAGATTTATGTGAGGCTTTGATTTCACTACTTTACTTCAACGTACTATGTCAGTATTACATTTTCTACATTTTTGGATCAGATTCAAGTGCTATCATTTGGACAAAATTTCAATCAAGTGAAATCCCAATCCTTGTGTTGTCACCTTGGGGTATTTCTCGTGTATTGTTTATCAGCAGGGACGGGCAGGGTAACAGGGTAGGTTTAGATTACAGGTAAAAATATGGCCCCAAAGCCGATTAGCTCCGGAACAGATGTTGATAGATTAACTCTGTGGCTGCTGGCGGCGATGTAATGCGACCCTTGAGTCGCAAGCCGCGGAGACATTAGGGCTGTGTAATTCCCTTCTCACTCACTTCACTCAGGCCACGTTTTTTAGCAAGGGTTTTAACTTTTAAGGAGTAAATATGTGTAGAAGTATTAGATCCTCTACCGTTGTTATGTTGTTTAACGCCCCACTCAGCAATATTCCAGCTATATGACTGCGGTCTGTAAATACTAGTCTGGGCCAGACAATCCAGTGATTAACATTTGCTTCATGTTCCAATATTATACAGCAGGCTCCAGATAAGGTACTAACTGGATAAATAAACATACCTAGTTATATATGTGAATGTTGTGCATATTTATGCACATAGGTTCTATTGTTCTTCCCAAGTGGGGATTCGGGTTTAGAATCAATACCAATCACCAGATTGACTGGTCCAGATTATTTACAGACCGCTGTCATAAAGCTGGAATATTTGCCGAGTGCGGCGTCAAACAACATCGCCTTGTTTGGTAAATCTGGATCTTCGATGGAAATTGGCATAATTGGTTCCACTAGTAAAGGCCACTAAACTAAACCTTGCCTTTTGACTGAGTAAGTTCGTGTTCCGTCACGATGGTAGCGTCCGAGTTGAGTTATATTGACCCGTTGATTCAGGGCCATATTTCGTCCCCAACAATGGTGGTGACATAGAGCGGCTTGTTCGTGTGTACGTCACTGTGTATACCTTTGGTCATGACATCAACAACCGTACATAACTCCCTTCTGTGTAGGCGGAGGGCACCAAAACACGAACATTCGGGTAAGAATGTCTCTAGAATCCCATGCTTGTCTGGTCCAGACTCGATTATTTGCAGACCAACCAGCCAACCAAACCATGCTTGTCAAAGGCAACTGACGGGATTTCCGACTTGGTTGATGCGTGTCATCGTATCCCAACTGCGTAGATCAATGATCATGATGTCAATAACTGGATTGTCTGGTCCAGTCTCGATTATGCACAGACCGTTTTCGTATAGATCGAATATCGCTGAGTGCGGCGTTAAACAGAAATAGGTGAAACGTGAAGGTCAACGCAAATATGACCCCTACTTATTTCATTTCCTAACTTATACTCCATCAAGGAATCTATACAATTCTATAACATTACTTTGACATATGATTAAAACCAATTTAAACGGGAATTTTAACCTTTCTTGGCATGAATATTAACGTTTCAAATTTAGATAGTATGAACTACATCCGTATCCCTGTGTACAAGCATGTTAGTATCAGATTTGGGTCACAGAATAGAAATATCCTTAGCACACGTTGAGTAATGTATGATAAGTGCACCCAACACCGTGTTGATAAAGCTGTTCAATGAGGCCCTGAACTGGTCTGTTGGAAGTGATTAGATCGCGGCAGAGCGGTAGACAAACTCATAACTCCTCGTCCACTGTGATGTTAGATCCCAAGTCTTCAAGTGTAGACTATTCTGCAAGTACGGATTATGTGACTTGTTGACGGAACATTTCCTATCGCTGTTATGACCGAGATCTTTCACACATTGGAAAGCGGTTAACCTATCTTCACACCATCTTGGACACATGATGTACGGGTGTGTTCTCACCTGTCGCGGTTTGCCTGTGCCAGACTTTAGTTCGTGAACTCTGTTGACGTAACCTATTTCGTCATAGTTCAAGGTCTTCAACTTGACCTTATCCATGAACTAGGCTTGTTGGGGTGACCTTACCCCACTTTTCTGTGTGACCTGCCCAAAGTTCTTGTCAAATCAAATCTCATATACTATTCAAAAGAAGTTAATGAAAACCTATCCCTACTCAGCGCGGATCTTCACGGGTCACACCATTCGATGAGTTTCATCGAGCCAAAAAGTTTTTTCTCATATGAAATTTCGACTTTGTTTGTGGTATTTATGATTTTTTTTATATATTTCATTTGTTACCAAATAAACACGGGTCGATTCCCAGATGTTCTAGTCGTTAGAGGCGACGGTAAGGATCGGGTGGTCAGGCTCGTTGGCGTGGCGTTGCATAGCGGCAGTGTGGTCAGGCTCGTTGGCGTGGCGTTGCATAGCGGCAGTGTGGTCAGGCTCGTTGGCGTGGCGTTGCATAGCGACAGCGTGGATCTTTGCTTACAATATCAAGCACTGGATTATCTGGTCCAGACTCGATTTTTTACCCGCCGCCGTCATATAACGGATAATTGCTGACTGCTGCGTTTGACAAAACAAATTTGCTCGTGGCTTTCACCAAAGGGTTAAGTGTCTGACGTCCATCTTTCCCCCGACAAAATGGTGTTACTAAATAATGTTCAAAGCGGTATAGAGCTCAATTCGCTCCCCGACAGCGTGGATAGTTGCTCATAATGTTAGGCACTGGTTTGTCTGACAACTATTTGCTGTATTACCGCAGTGAAAAAGTTGGGATTGTGTGCCAAAAAAGTCATCTGACAAGTATACTACTCAAAAGAAGTTAAGGACCACCCGATTTTCATATCACTATCGTTAATGTCATGCCATAACAGATTAACTATAGTAATATGAAAGAATCGGGTAGTCCTTTACTTCTTTTGAGTAGTATAATCCATCACTTGTATGATCCGACTGAACTGGGTATCGCGTGGTTACTCTGTATAACCTAGTCTAGATGATCCTTTCAACAGTAATATAAGTCGTATAACCTACCGAACACTGGCTACTGAAGACTGCTGCTTGCCGACATGATACTAGAATGTTGACAAAGGGCCATATTGAATTCTCCTGTTTTCTTCTATACGGTGTTATAGTAATCTCAGCGTTAAGGTCGCTTAGTCCAAATGGTTCCAGGTGGTCATCCAACCAATTACTGTCCCCTCGAAGTCCATTTGGCAACTCGACCCCCAGTTAAGTTGTTTTTTACGACATTGATGAGTTGCTCGGGGATCTATTCTATACTGTAATCCCCCGCGGGACATGAGACCAGGGTCACATGGCCCGCTATGACAGGCCAGATTGCTTCATGTATTCGTTGCCATAATAACCATGTGGATTTATGATCAAGGTATTTTAAATTCGTATTATCGTCAACAAATATGCGACTTAACTTTTGATAAGGATAATCATATATGCGAATCCATTTAAACATACCCTTGACATTATGAGAATCAGTTTGGTGTACCATGGAAAGAAAAAAACATCGCTATCCAAAGTGGTGTAGTATATATGCGATGGGGTAGCACTGTGGTCAAAGCGTTCGCTTCTCCCATCGACGTTCCGGGTTTGATCCCTTATATCGGCAGTGCAGCGTTGCAGGAAAACCATGTAAAAATCCAGAGAGAAAAGTGTATCACTTATTTGAAGCAGTAATTGACACTTAAACCTGCATTGAGATTCCGGGACAGGAAAGGTCCTCGTTTTGATTTAAACATATTTTTTTCACTAGGAAAAGGATTGGGTACACGCAGAGACCATATAATAATCTATTATATGGTCTCTGGTACACGTTAGCTAGCTACAATTTAGCTAGCCCTCTCCCAAAATATGTACATGGTTAGCGTTGTATAATAACAATTGAAATATGTATGGTTAATGCCGTAGTCAGCAATGTTCCAGCTATTTGACGGCGTTCTGTAAATAATCGAGTCTGGACCAGTCAATTCAGTGATATCAGGATCATCGATTCACGCAATTACGATAACATGCATCAATCAAGTCAGCAAGCCTGACCACCTGATCCCGTTATAGTCGCCTCTTAAAGCAAGTATGGGTTGCTGAAAACCTATTCGCTACCGGATCTTCACGGATCAGGTGAAATATGTCAAAAAATAGAAGCAGCAGGAAACTTAACTTTACTTTTACTTAAATTTATTTATGCAGTTGATAAAGTAGTGATGGACAAATGTAACTAACGTTGTATATGAGCTGAGATCACCGTTACCCCATAGTCGACTGAAATGAGGATCGGTTGGTCAAAATGTGTCCTACTTTCAATTTTTAAATTGCCACGTTCCGGCACTATAGTTGACGCTCGTAGGTGTAGAACCTTTTAATAGCATGAGGTACCTGGGCTCTTTTTGCACAAAGATAATTGTGTTAAGGGTTTCGTAACAGCCATACTTGAGCATACTTACGATCGTCATTGCGCTAAGATTGCTTTGTGAGAGCGGGCTCTGGTGTTTAATGGAGCACATGTTACTGTGTCCATTGGTACATGATGTTTGTGGTGTTACAGGAGGACGAAGAAGACATGGACGACGATGACGAAGAAGACGACGATGAAGACGACGATGAGGAAGAGGAAACACCAGAGAAAACGTAAAGTTATATTGCCTTTAGTGTTGGTGCGGTTGTATAGCCTTATCAGCAAGCGTGTCTCGCTTGTGGTAAGGGGGCACGTATGTCAAAAGACACCGCAATTCGTTGTGCATAGTTGCCTCCTTGGGCACGCCAGGAATTAATGATCATGGGTGCCGGTACCAGATTCCTCCTGTTTGTTTCTAGGTCACCGTGCTCGTGGGTTTCACCAAAGTGGTAAACGTCTGAGACTTACATCACTTTAGGCTTTCCTCCCACATCAAGCTGACACGCTGCGATACAGGCTCAGCCTGTATTGCAGTTTATCATTGAACATATTCACATTGTATGTCGACCCGTGAAGATCCGCGGTAGAATAGGTCTTCAGCAACCCATGCTTGCCGTAAAAGGCGACTGACTTTGTTGATGCATGTTATCAATCCCAATTGCGTGGATCGGTGTTCACGTCAATCACTGGATTGTCAGGTCCAGATTCGATTATTTACAGACCGCCGTCATATAGCGGGAATATTGCTGAGTGCGACGTTAAACCACACCCACACACACCCCCACACACCCCCCCACACACACACCCACCCCCACACACACACACACCCACCCCCACCCCCCCCCCCCCCACCCCCCCCCCCCCCCCCACACACACACACACACACACACACACACACACACACACACACACTCTCTCTCTCTCTCTCTCTCTCTCTCTCTCTCTCTCTCTCTCTCTCTCTCTCTCTCTCCTCTCTCTCTCCTCTCTCTCTTCTCTCTCTTCTCTCTCTTTCTCTCTCTGTCTGTCATGGTCCGTATGCATGCTGTTTAGATTGAGACCGAAATGAATTTGGATTTATATTTATGATCTCCCATAATCTCCCATATATACTTGTGTTAGCAATATGTGGTTGCATGATATTTTCTTTTGTTTACAGAAAGAAGAAAGGCAAAAAGGTGAGTCGTTATTTATGGTTCCGTGTTCACGTTGACCCAACTCACTCCAGTAGAAATGGGTTCGAATCCGGGGGCGCCCCTAGACGTTAAAAGATGGTATTTGCTGTTTCCCGTCTGTCGCATGGTATCTCGGTGCATGAACACTACAGAACTGGACTAGTGCACGCACTTTCATACACGCAAGCACGCACGCACGCACATGCCTTGGTACGTGACCCGTGAAGATCCGGTGTAGAATAGGTCAACAGCAACCCATGCTTGCCGAAAAAGGCAACTATGCTATGCTAAGATGCGACTAACGAGATCGGATGGCCAGGCTCGCTGACTTGGTTGATGCATGTCATCGAATCCCAATTGCGTGGATCGATGCTCATGTCAATCACTGGATTGTCTGGTCCAGACTTGATTATTTACAGACCGCCGTCATATAGCTGGAATATTGCTGAGTGGCATTAAACAACATACAAACAAACAAACAAAACTTACGTACGTACGTACGTAGGCTATGTAACTGAAATAATATCGAACGCGACGTTTTCCCAAGTTAACCTCACCACCTATCGAAATGTAGTTCATGACGATACATGTTGAATGCAAAGTTTTGTTAAATCGCGCCGTAAAGAAAAAACGAGAATTTAAGAGTAAATGAATATACTTTGATTTTGTTTATATCCTCTTCATGTTTTGTCAGCCCTCTTGGGAGGGGCTGATAGAGGGACAGATGGGGGTCAATGGCTCCCTCGTACAGCCGATCCATCATGCCTCATCCATCATGCCCCGCCTAACGCTGGTGTGGTCTGGAGAGGTGTTAGCGCTCGTGTTCTCCTGTTGGTGATAATCCTCAAGACAGATTGCACAAAAAGCTCCACTATTCTCATTGATGGGTGTTGATATGAAGTATAACAAGTAATTGTGTGAGGATGGGGAATTAATGGGGATAAGAGGGGAAGCACGTGCCACAGAGACAGTAGGTGTATTAAGCGGATAAGCGGCACCGTCAGGGCCAACAACAAGGTATTGTCAGCTGTTATACACCCGCCATTTGACAACGGCAGTGTTGTATGAAATATTACTTATACATAAAGCTTGGCGTGTCGAACAACGCGACGAGACGTGTTGATTATTGATAAAAAATAGTCCCACTTTAACTCATCTGCTCGCACCTTGATTTCTTACAATTGTTTTGACGTTGACGCGGGGGATGATTTATGGAGTTGAAATTACACTAAAATCAGTTATTCCGCTGAGGTTGGCCTGTCGTGTATCAGTACCAAAGGTAATGGTGATATTTATGGCTTTGAAATTACACTAAAATCAGTTATTCCGCTGAAGTTGGCTTGTAGTATATCAGTACCATAGGTAATGGTGGCCAATGCCGCTGCCCCAGCATTTTACACGCAACCGTACAATGACGTATTGATCAAAACAGACAGCCGTATGATCGTGTTTTTGCCGGTATTTAGTTCATAGAAAATGATTAATGGAATCATTTTAAGTCATACGCTCCAGAGGTATGTTTGAAAAGTGACAAGCAACGCAGTTGTACACATTCCCAGCGAGCATATCTGTGATTGTTTCTCCGACAAAAGTTAAGTTCTTGGAATATTTCTACAGCTAAATGCCATGACGTTGATGTCACATTATTGCACTGTGGGGTGAAAGCTGTACGACTGACTTTTGTGGTAAGTCATGCTCTCGTTTTTTTTAAATGTCTTGTCATTTGAATGGTGTTACCTTCCATTAATGCCCGTTTGTGAATAACTGAAGACTTGATAGAGGATCCCCATGAGGTACGCCCGGGCCACCTGTTTAACTCCACCTCGAGTCATGGCGGGTTAGAGACATATAAAACTACCGATCATTGAAGCCAAAACGTCCATTTGAATAGGATTGTACTCGCATAATAAAATCAAACCTCCGCGAGCTCGTTTCAATAGGACGACACCTGGTCGGGAAGGGGTGAACTTGTGTAGGTTTTGAGGGGTCTACTAACACGAGAACGTGGGGGAAGGAGGACAATAGTCACAACTCGCAGACAAGGTGAAGCAGTACTAAACTATGAGATAATCCCCATCAACATTTCAACTGGTGTTTGCCATGTTGGAATCTACTCTTTGATCATCGTGAATTGTCCGTCTCGTTTGACCAGCCCCATGCCTCTTTGAGGCCGGGGCTGCGTGGCTTGAGCCTGCCGCTGCATATCATTACTGGATTATAACATGCATTCCTGTGCTGTCTGAGGCCCTGTCCAATCGCTGCTAATCTGCTTCTATTGTCCAATGACGAGTGGCAATACTCCAGCCACCCCCGCCTTACAAGGGCATTGTGAGCACTAAGTCTGTCACAACAAAGTTAATTGGTAGCTGTCGCGCTTCGCTACTTCATTTAGTTTTTCAATGGGCTATCTGGTTTTGTGGGCTGTGGTAAGTTTCGTGAAGTTCATTACCACCCCTACTTAACCCCCTCCCTGCGTGTCTGACGGGGGACGTGCGGCTGGGTATGTAGTGGGGATCAGGCGCTACGACCCCTGGGGCTCAATCCGCTCCTGACATGCCTCTGATTGAGATCCCGAGGCATGCATATATTGATGTTCAGACAGCTTAACGGTACATATTGCCAATAATTTAAGCAGATTATATAGATATAGATTAAATACAAAAGTCCAAAGATGAGCTGTATAATTTACTCAACCGGTTTTACGAATGTGATGTTCAAGATTATATCTATATATAAAGCACAGTAAAATTCTAACTCTCAGGCACAATATAGTAATAACTGAATAAGTGGAGTAAGATTGAACACAGTTTTAATGAGCTATCTTACTCCACTTATTTAATTATTACTATATATATATATATATATATTAGTGTGTATATATATATATATTAGTGTGTATATATATATATATATATATATATATATAAATTAGTGCGTGTATATATATATAATTGTTTATGAATGACATTATTCATGTCTTCGTAGAACATAGATTCAACGTCAGAGAATCACAACTCTCAATTATCCACCGAAACAGATTTTATTGGGTGTAAGGGCAAAAATGCGGTGAAAGTTATTAGACTGGATCGCTGAAAATCAGTGACGCCAGGTGTTCGCAAAAAATAGATTTTCAAACTTTCCTTTTCTTAAAAACATGTATTTTCTGCTATATATGTATCAGAAATATCTGCTGAGTAGTCTGAATCTGTATTTTAAAATACACAACATGGTTAAACTAAAAAAACTTAGGTGTTCAGGGATCATGGACTCAATCAACGTCAGCTCAGACAAAAGATTTAACAAAACCCGGGCCTCCGCTGAAGACATGTCCTGCTGTCCACTATTCGTGTGCAGAATTTCTAATGGATTTGGTGTGACATTTACAATACATTGTATGTCTCTGAAAAACTACCAGGACAAGAAGGCAGATAGTTGATACATCCAGAAGCTGCCTCCATGATCTCATTTCCCGTTTTCTTTTGCCTCCATTTAATTTTGATGGAACATTAGATGAGGTTAATCGTTTTACCCCGTCACGCTTGCCACACAATGAGGGCCCTTGTTCGATTTCCAACATAGTTACGTGTGTCGTGCTTATTTTTGGCGTTTATTATTCATACAATATGGCGGAAAACGGAGTAAAAGCTCACTCATTCGACGCTTACCCCGATCTATTCCCCCGGATGTTCACTTGAGGGGCGGTGGGATAGTCTGGTGGTTAAAGCGTTCGCTCGTCACGGTCACGCCGCAGTCCCGGGTTCGATTCCCCACATGGGTACAATGTGTGAAGCCCATTTGTGGTGTACCCCCGCGGTGATATTGCTGGAATATCGTTAAAAGCGGCGAAAAACCATACTTACTCACTCCCTTACAATGTTCACTTTAAACATATCGCCCTGGTTATGTTTCTAGGGTTGACAGCCTCCTAAGTGTTCTCGTGGGTTTCGCCAGTGGGAAACAAGTGGTAAACGTCAAGTTGCAAGATCTATATCACTTTCATGCATGTGCTTTCTTCTCATTAAGTTGACACGCTGTGATCTGAAGTACTGTTCAAAGCGGCATAAAACACATCTCACTCACTTTGTGAACCCAGTTTCGGGATCAGTTATATTTAATCCTTCTGGATAACACTGCAATTCTGTTAAAAGCTGGGTAGACCTCACCGCCAATGTAACCCATGTCTGCAATGCAAAGCTTATGTTTGGACAATGTTTAACATGAAGAGCTCCAGGTCTTCCTTGTGTAAAATATTTTCAACTTTATTTCAAACAGGCCAAAGAAGATGTAAAATCTACGAAAGCAGCAAAGAAGGCGAAACCAGCTACGAAGGTATAGAATATTCCCTTGGGTGTTTAGCTGGAGGTTAAGATCCGGTTAGAATTGGTCTCCATCAACCCATGCTTGTCGGCTTGTCGTAAAAAATTAAGGAACAACTGGTTCTTTTATTACTGTAGTTAATCTGTCCTGCTATGACAGATTAACAATAGTAATATGAAATCACCGGGTTTTCTTTAACTTCTTTTGAGTAGTAAATTGATAGAACTGTGCATTTCTCAGGGGACCCTTGAAGATCCGGGATAGAATGTCTTCAGCAACCCATGCTTGTCTTAAAAGGCGACTGGCGGGATCGGGTGGTCAGGCTCGCTGACTTGGTTGCGTGTATCGACGCTCATGATATTAATCACTAGATTGTCTGGTCCAGACTCGATTATTTACAGACCGCCGTCATATAGCTGTAATATTGCCGAGTGCGGCGTTAAACAACAAACAAACAAACATTTCTCTGGGATATCTCACTATTTTGCTCAATGCCTGTTTGAAAAACGAAGTCCGGCATCATGGCTTATTACATTTTAGGACTGCTTTTGTCAGAAACAAGAAAGAAACCATTTTCTTTTAATTCTCGACTGGATCAAAATGTCAAACAAAACCACCCCCTCTCTACCAGATCACAGGCTTCTACAAATCGTATGTTAAGCTGATGCTATGCATTGTCTCACTGAAGTTAATGTTCAATACGCTGCGCTATAAGACACTGTATCAATACATTATGAAACATTATCGATCGGACGTTTACCCATCTGTCATGGAATGGTAGCCGACTGGTACAGCGAAATGTACCGATTCTGTTCATGATGTGGATATGTAATTCTTCCGGGACTCCTCTCGTGAAATGTTTCCCTAACAAGTGACATGGTCTAAAAGTAGCCCAACGCTTATATACGTCCCAGCCGTGGTGTAATTTTAGATGTTGTTTCTATGGTCACGTAATTATGCAGATTAATGTTAATGATGAGGAAACGGTTAAAGGTTGCTTCATGGCTCCATCTGATGTCCACCTTATTGACTTAAGCCCGCAACATTCTGCTTTCAGGCCGCTGTTAAGAAGACTGTGAAAAAAGGCAAGAAATGAAAGCCCCTCCTCGTCTTACCCCGTATTAAAGTGCTGCTGTATTTATAGTGATCTGTGTACATTGGTGGGCGGAATAAATCTATCTGGGGCATGCAGGGGTTTCTTTAGTGGTGTTATAAATTTGTTAGATACAGTTTTAAGTGTAATCCATAATATATATATATAATACTCGAAAGAAATTGAAGAACACCGGTACGACTAAAGTTAATTGGGGCGGTCGGGTAGCCTAGTGGTTAAAGCGTTCGCTCGTCACGCCGAAGACCCGGGTTCGATTCCCGACATGGGTACAATGTGTGAAGCCCATTTCTGGTGTCCCCCGCCGTGATATTGCTGGAATATTGCTAAAAGCGGCGTAAAACCAAACTCACTCACTCACTCACTCACTAAAGTTAATTTGTCATGACTGGTGGTATTGCAACAGTCATCCAATTGTGGGTGTTCTTTAACTTCTTTTGAGTTGTATAAATTACGGATCACAATTCACTTTACAGTGATATTGAGTTCAGCGTGTGCTTAAGTTGTGTTGACAACTTATTTGATACTCTTGCAGATGCAATATTGTTGACTGCGGCGTTAAATAGGATTCACTCCCCCGTATGGATTCAGGGTTACTCTTGGACCCCAACAATCCATGCTGGACGTGGTCGTTAAAGGTGACCATATGGATCGGGTGGCCCAGTCGCCTGAGGCGCAGCGATTCGCTGTGCACACAGTTGCGTCCCTTGGGCACGCCAGAAACCTATGATTGTGGGTTCGAATCCCGGTTCGCCCCGATTATGTTTCTAGGTTTGTCAGCACTATACCCGTGCTCGTCGGTTTCACCGACGTGGTAAACGTTTGAGACTACTTACTTCGGGCTTTCCTCCCACTTTAAGCTGACACGCCGTGATATAACTGGAATACTGTTAAAAGCGGCGTTAAACCCAATTCACTCTTAATTTTGACAGACCGCATCCGTAGTCTCTCGGTAGAGCGTCTGCCCGGAGAGCGGAAAGTTGGGGGTTCTTTCCCCGGCTGCGTCATACCCAAAGACGATAAAATGATGGTACTTGTTACCCTGCCTGGCGTTCGGCATTAAGGGACTAAAACAAAGACTGGACAGCTTTGGAATCGGTGTACTGTCTCCGTGGGCTAGCACTATAAAACCTGTCTCTCAATAGATAGATAAACCAAAACTTCAGCCATGTAAAGTAAATGATATCAAATATTACAATCCTGTCAAAAGATGTTGGATAACGCCAGGAACAACTTCAGCTCTTCCATTATTCCAGCAACATGCACTCAAACATTCACATAAGACTTAACTTGGTGCAAACGCCGCAAAAACGATAGCTAAGCAATGTCCCATATTTGAACTCTTGCAGTGCCCCGAAAGGCATCTCAGTTCATACGTTTTTGTAGTCGGTCTTCACGATCGCAGCCAGTGGAATAGCGGTGTATATTCAGTATATTTGAATCTACTACGAATTACGACCTGTATCTGCATACAAGAAAGTAAACATACTATCTTGACTGGTTGATGCCGCGACAGAATAAGCTAGTTCCCCTTGCAGTAAAAACGACTTTAAAGGTATCGGAGACACGGGTGCGCCAGTACACTGACGACGCTATGCACAGCAAGCAGCGTTACGTCTCTTGCTGAGCAGGATCATATCGTTGTTGGTTTGAATCCTAGATTTACCACATTAACTATCTTGGTTTGTTAGCACCATGTACGTACTTGAGGGTTCCGTCTCAATGACCACCTTAGACCTGAATCCCACCGAATGTCAGCTGACACGCTGTGATATAACAAACTATATTCCAAGTGACGAAACCCACTCGCTCTTTGAATATCGGACCAGCGCAACTGCTGAATTTGCTGTAGCGTCATCTTTCGCGGAGGATTGCTGTTGAAACTACGCGCTTTGTCTTCTTGACGTCCCTGGTCTGATGGATAGAGCCTTTGCTATAAGGTCGGTTGTTCGATCCCCGGCCGAACCATTGCAAAAGACGTTATGTAACCAGTCCTTGTTTTCTCGCCTAAATCCCAATCGCAATGCAGAGTAATAAGTACCATTACTCTGCATTGCGATTGGGATTTAGGCGAGAAAACAAGGACTGGTTACATACCCACACACCCCTCTATAATATATTAATATGAGAAGTTCTAGGAGTAGCTGTACCTTGACACATACGGCGTAAAACACCATTCACGGCTTAATCCCTTATCCACCAGTATCCTCTAATCCAATAATGGTCCCTGCTTCTGTCGGAACCACGCCATTGTGTGGGATTCAACAATGCGTTAAATGTTTCTCACCTGTTTGGAGCAGGCACCCCCTAAAACCAAGTACCCCATGGTTGTTGGAGCCGACAGATGGAATGGTTGCGTGCCTTCATCACTCGATGGCGTGCCACGTTGCTTCCAGTTATGTTTGTTTATTGTTCAACGCCGCACTCGGCAATATTCCAGTTATATGACGTCAGCCTGTAAATAACTACCTGGACCACACAATCCAGTGATTGACATCATGAGCACCTGCCTTCAACTGTTACGATCTATTTTCAAACAGATATTCGTGTTTCTTCCTCATGATCTGCCACGAGTACACGATGAGGCTAAGACAGCTGCACCCCCCCCCCCCCCCCCCCCCCCCCAACAATTTTGATAAGTTGTACCCCCTCCTTTTAAAAAAAATGCTGGATTTCCCCCATGTACCAGTCTTAATACGGACAGGATATTGCCGACCCACAGGTTTGGATTTATTCACTCATGTATAGGAAAGTCTTGAAATGTGCCCAGAATATCACGAAAGAATGTCAAAGGTGTTTGTTGAATTTGGTAGCTTCTATGTTGATTGGTCACTACTGACACGCGGGGAATTCAGAAAGCGGAATGCAAGAGATGACCAGCTACAAGCGCTGTCCAAAGGCCAGCATCAAACCCTAGTTGGACAAGGGATCACCACGTGTGTGTCGTCTCGCCACCATATCCCGCTATTGTCACACGGAATCCTGTGAATGGAGCGCAGACCGCCAACATGGTAAAAGATTTGTAGCAGCTAAGCTGTACTAGCAATTTAGCGGTATTTGGTCAATGTTAATTAAACTTCCACAGGAAACCGCGAGGTACGTCGGGCGCTGATGTTTACCCTCACTCCTAATCCAGAAGCCCAAGGTAAACTTTGTGTGCAGGAGTGTATTGATGGGGGTACCTCTATTTGGTCACCCGCGTTGTCAGCTTCATCACTTTGTTACATGCTATGGTCCAATGTTTGAAGAGAATGGCCGTCGCCGTTCGCCTCCTTAACACAGCGTCTCAAGCCCTCACCTTTAATAACATGTATTCTTCACGTTAACACCATAATGTACCACTCGCCTTACAATGTGCAACGTAACATTTATTTTTCTTTCTTCACGTACTTCCTGTGAGTACACCCGAACCCGTGATTAAAAGATCTAATTGGACTAAACCCTGTGACCCGATACCTCTTCACCAGGAACAAACGCATCGAAAATTGCTGAAAATATTTGTTTCGTCTGATACCTCGTTAGGTACGTCTTTCCAAACCATAATTCAAGACAGTTTTATACATAACATATGTCTGTGTGTGATATATGATTTTTATGCTTCGTTGACTTTGCTTGAAAAATGTAAATCTGGTTTCATTTATTAATATTGACAATATGTTTCAATGGTGCTGGTCCATATTATATTATCCTATCTGTGATCTTGTATAACGAGCGACTTTTGCTGGGATGTCTGTCAAAGCCCAAACCGTGATTGTTGTTAACTATTTCAGTAATAGTGAATACATCCTACCCAAACAACGATGAGTGACGTGAAGTAGTGATGGCATCTCGGCGGCTTCATTCACGACTTTGATGATATCTCCAAGTCTTTGTCCAGTATGTACGGAATGTGTACGTTGACTACACCATCTCCTGAGGACGGCACCGTGGGAAATTTCGGGGCAAGCATCCTCGGTACTCTCTGCTAATGGGCGATATTTTCTTATTTGGTTTATAGAACTGAACCATAACCTCAAACATTTTTGCCGTAAAAAGTAAAATCTTGAAATATTTTCTTCCTATTTCTTGACAAATGCCCGTTATGCATAGCTCATCGAAACGAGAAGCCAAGTGATGCGTTGACTTTTCAAAGACGAATATAATAGGACTCTTTTTTCGGCCGAAGATCGACGATTTTAAAAACGCCTCATACTTCAAATTAAAATAAAATTTACTCGAAGTCCAGTCTCACCATCCTCCAATCCCGGAATATTAAATGGTCGGCCCTAAAGGAACCAACTACTCCTATTCATGAGGACATTGTTATTCTGGTGACTATGCTTGTCGTAAGAGGCGACTAACGGGATCGGGTGGTCAGGCTCGCTGACTTGGTTGATGCATGTCATCGTATCCCAGTTGCGTGGATCGATGGCCATGATGTCAATCACTGGATTGTGTGGTCCAGACTCGATTCTTTATAGACCGCCATCATATTGCTGGAATCTCGCTTACGTGAGGCGTTTAACAACAAATAAACAAAAAACAACAACCGATTAATCAGTCTGCCTTCCTATGTCTTCGTACCCAGTTGTATGAATTATATAGCTGTGCTCAATATTGGCCAGATGTGTGCCAGATAACGGATACGTTGCCCTTACAGGCCCCCATTATATAACCAGTGTTGCATCAAACCATTCCTTCACTGTCATTTCATCAAGTTATTTTCCTGTGTGATCCCCAGTGATCTGAGACACGGCCCGCAACTTGCATACAGAGTTACGCCCCTTGGCCCCATATGCAGTTGATGTTGAGTTCGAATCCCAGACAATCAGTCGTTCACGTTCGTTTAATCAGAGCGTTAAACCTTTTTGTCACATTTTTTTGCTTTATTCGTCCTTATATAATTGGACTGAACCCAAAGTCACCGCTTGCCTGTCAACTCTCCATCACCAACAGGTTATATATATATATATATAATGTTCCACACATCGACAAACGCGCCTTCAACAACGATCGTTTGCCACGAGAACTCAGAATATGAATGTGTTCACTGTATCGCGATATCTTCAAATATCACAGCCTCCTGAAAAACAGGCAAT